GGAACAATAAAGAACACTTTGTAAGTACCTTCTAAAGAGCATTTCTGCATGATTAATTTTCATTTCAGTTCGTTTGTTTTTGAAAAAAAAAGCAAAATGTTATTTCTAATTGGTTTTTAAGGTAAATTTTTACCTTCAGCTGGCATTAATTTCCAATTGGTACCAAAATAAAAACATCTGTTGAGAACCTTATCACAAACAGACCTGTCAAGTTTGGTTCCTATTGGTGAGATGTTCATGAAAAGTTTTCCCAAGTTCTGCCAATCAGAAATAAGTAAATGCTATGTTTGTAAATAAAGTGTCACCAAAGTAATAACATTCAGAAAGGACCTTGTAAAAGTGAGGGGAAAGTTCAAACTCATGCCTAAAAATGAACTGACAACACCATGGCAAAAAAACGAACAAAAGAACAAAAGACAAACAACATTATACAAAACACAACACAGAAAACACGGAGAGGAACACAAACCCCACCAAAAACTGGGACATCTCTGCCAAGTATCTATTCAGTGGTTCTCAAGATAATAAAAATGAGAAAAGCAATTAGATGGACCCCAAGTGATGGCATCAGCTCATTTTGCCACTAGCAAAGTGAGCTAAAATTGACTACAGTAAGCTATAAGAATAAAGACTCAAATGGCCTTGCAGCACATGTTTTTTTCAAAAATGGAGTTAAGTATATAATAAAGATTAAGTCCATTTGGTGTCTGATCGATAGTTGTCTCCCTGGCAATCATTTCCTTTTTTCATTTAAATAGAAGTGAAAATGGGGGAACATCTTTTTTTATAAGTCCTTGATAAAATTAACACAACCTCAATAGAGTTTGAAAACAACCTGTGAAGTTTCAAGGATGTGCATTGGAAACTGCAGGAGATATTGATTACACAAAATTGGAACAATTCTTTTTTTGACATTTTGCTAAAAAAAAAAAGACAAAGTTTTTAAGTCTTTAAAATTTTAAATATTCTGAAAAAATTCCATAATAGCAGGTGCCACAACTGCAATATCTATGCAATCGATCTGTAAAGTTTCAATGCTCTCAGTTGAAAACTGTAGCAGTTGATTACACAAAATAGTTACGTCTTTGTATTATGCAATGTTAAGCAAGCAACATTTAAACAACCATATCAAATCACATATTTTGCTGAAAATTAGTTAAATAAACTGCTTCGCCCAGCGCAGCAGGATACAACCGCAGAGGTCCAACCATGAACACAGTTGGGGCAAAAATGGAAACAATATCCAAGCTTGATACAGGTCTGAATTTGGATTGTAATTAAATATTTGACACATTATAGGTTTCTGACACAGAATAAATGTAGTCAAAGAACTTGAAATTGGTTATATGATTTCAATTTATATTCAATTGAAGATTTCTAGCTTTTGTGCAATACACTGTGCTGTTGTGCAATACTTAGTAAATCTGTTTTCAGACTATATACAAAGAATTAGCAAAATAAATTGTGACCCCCAATTTTCTTTGGAAAATTGACAATTTCTTAAATCGAGGGAAAATATTGCCCCCCCCCTCCAAAAAAAAAAATTGTTTATTGCCCCCCCCCCCCCCCCCCCCCCCCCCCCCCCCCCCCCTCCCTTATTCGAAAAAAATAACATTTGAAGAAATTTTATATTTGTAAATTGTGGTACAATTTAAGAAAAATCAATAACTTAAGGTGGCTGGGGCATCTTAATTAAAATTGATAGAATTTTTTGATAATTGGTCAAAATGAAGTTTTTATCATGCTTTTTTCAATATAATAATAAAAAGTATGGGTCACAAAACTTTTTTTAACGCTAGAGGTTGTGCAAAATTGTCAGATTTTGTATAGATTATGCATGGAAAATCAAATTTTGTGTGATAAAAAGAAAACTACTTGATAGAACTTTAAGATAAAATGTGAGAAGATAGTTCTTATAAGATGCTTTCAGATAAGAAAAAGAAAAACTGGGGTCACCGAACTTGTTTTCTTGCTACATATCAAAATAGGTAAATTCACAACACTTTCTATTATAAAAATTACTTTATCTGAGTTATCTCCCCTTATTTGGCAAAGTTGAAAAAAATCTAATCAAAGACAAATAAGGTGTTTTTGAGAAATTACAGCCGTAGTTATGATAAAAAACACAATTTTCTATATTTACATCAAAAGTCTTTTACATAAATTACATACTACTCTCAAAATTTGCACATTTCATGAAATATCTAGACAAACTTTATCTGCTACTTCGAAATCCAAGATGGAGGAAGACACCAGAGCCACCTTAAACACAAGTTTTTGCCTGAAAATTAAAAAAAATGCTTGTTTAAGACCCTTTTTGGCCCCTAATTCCTGAACGGTTTGGGCAACTACCCCCACAATAAATCCCAATCTTCTACTTGTGGTATTGAACCTTGTGGTACAATTTCAGAGCAATCACAATACTTATACACAAGTTATTGTCCTGAAACTATAACTAGAGGCTCTCAAGAGCCTGTGTCGCTCACCTGTATTTACTGATGCTTTGGAAATCATGTAAAATAAGGTTAAAATCATAATTAATAGTATTAGATATTAGATATTATAATGATATTCTAAGATAATAACAAAAAACTGCAAAATTTTTGTAAAATTACTAACTCAGGGGCAGCAACCCAACAACGGGTTGTAGGATTCGTCTAAAAATTTTCAGGGCAGATAAATCTAAATCTGATGAACATTTTTGCCACCTGTCAGATTTGCTCTAAATGTTTTAGTTTCAGAGATATAAACCCAAAACTGCATTTTACCCCTATGTTCTATTTTTAACCAAGTCGGCCATGATGGTTGGAAGGCGGGGTCATCGGACAAATTTTTTAAACTAGATACCCTAATAATGATTATGGCCAAGTATGGTTAAATTTGTCTCAGTAGTTTCAGGAAGGAAGATTTTTGCAAAAGATTACAAAAATTTACAAAAAATTGTTAAAAGTTGACTATTAAGGGCAATAACTCCTAAAGGGGTCGACTGACAATTTTGGTCATGACAACTTATTTGTAGATCTTACTTTGCTGAACATTATTGCTGTTTACAGTTTATCTCTATCTATAATAATATTCAAGATAATAACCAAAAACGGCAAAATTTCCTTAAAATTACCAATTCAGGGGCAGCAACCCAACAACACTGTCAGATTTGTCTGAAAATTTTAGGGCAGATAGATCTTGACCTGATAATCAGTTTTACCTTGTGTCAGATTTACTCTAAATGCTTTGGTTTCAGAGATATAAGCCAAAATCTACATTTTACCCCTATGTTCTATTTTTACCCATGGCGGCCATCTTGGTTGGTTGGAGGTTTCATCGGACACATTTTTTAAACTAGATACCCTAATGATGATTGTGGCCAAGTTTGGTTAAATTTGGCCCAGTGGTTTCAGAGAAGATTTTTGTAAAAAGCTAACGACGACGGACGACGGACGCCAAGTGATGAGAAAAGCTCACTTGACCCTTCGGGTCAGGTGAGCTAAAAATGGGAAAAATCCATAATAGCAGGTGTGCAAGCTTTTTATTTCCTGCCCTATATCACTATACATGTGATATACACCTGTTTTGCACTTTGTTCATCCCACAATTCGAGTACAATAATCACCTTTGTAATAAGCAAAAAGTAAAATAACAAAAATACTGAACTCCATGGAAAATTCATAATGGAAAGTCCCTTATCAAATGGCAAAATCAACAGCTCAAACACATCAAACAAATTGAAAACAACTGTCATATTCCTGTTAGTACAGGAATTTCCTTATGTATAAAATGGTGGATTAAACTTTTATTTATTCATTGCTGAAAATTACATTTTTGCAAAATATGCATGATTGGTCAAGCTGGAATGTATCACCTATACAACTCATTATGTTTTGAGGTCTTACTACAAGCATCAATCATGCAAGGGGCAACCACATTATCAGCTAAAGATATGAACAAATAAGCTGACTTAGTCAATAAACTTAACTTGGAATCAATGAACAATGAATGGGTCAAAGTGAAGTGAGCTTTGTAGATTGCTTACATCGTCCTTTCATGCAGATTTGGTATTGTAGTGATAACAGTACAATTCTAACTTCTAACAATGTCTGCTCATGTTACGAAGAAAAAAATATTGCTTATAAAAAGTAATCACAAAGATTTCAATAAATTTACTTGCTTTTGACATATATCATTTATTTCATGTTAGTAAGCAAAGATATTAAAGTTCAGGATGTTATTTTTTCACAGCTGCTGTTTGTCAACAGAAAAATAAAACATGACAAGAGAGAAAATTGCTAAATTTACAGATATGAAGCCTTGAAATATTAGAGGTAACAACACTATACTATAAGAAAATAGGGTTTTAATGCTGCTGTCCTTTTCAATTAACTGGTAAAGTGCTAACTGCTTTCATTTATTTTCCATTTATGTTTGCTCACTCCTCACATACTCAACTGTTCTTTAATTTTTGTAACCCTTGAATTTTCCCTATGCAATTCATTAAATAAACAGTGTACACAGACATATGTCTAGCCTGTGTGTATTTTCCATAGTATAATGCAAATGTTGAAAGTTAAATGGCAAAACTTTTATGATTCATTCATAACTATATAAAAGTTTCAAAATCATGGACCATTACTGAGGGGACAGGGCCAAATAATCTTTATTCTTAAACAAGAACATGATGGATAGATGTTTAATATCTGTCAACAGAAAAAGTTAACATGACAAGAGAGAAATTACTAAATTTACTAATATGAAGCCTGGAAATAAGTCAAGAAAGAAAGGAACGCATTATTATATCTCCTATTGGATTCAGGATAATGTTCACTAACATTACATTCCACATTGGCATATTGTTGAAGACATTATGTTGACCTTAAAATGTTTTTCCTTTGTTGGGTTGTTAGCTTATTGGTGTATAGTCTTCAACTTCTATGTAAATATTTTTTTCTTGTATAATACATGTATTGAAATATATCCTTATTAAAGGGAATAAAATATGAAACAGATTTGCCTGGAAATATAATGCTTTTATTATTTTGATTACACATCATAATAATGATTGTTTACATAATAATCAGTAACTTAGATGTAACCTACATAATCTTAGTTCTAATCTAAATTCATTTTGATAATATCAACATGTAGTTTATCTGAAATATTCTAAAAAAAAACCACATGTACCACAAAACAAACCAAGGAAATAGTTTTAAAAAAACTTCAAAATTTTCGTATTCAATTCTAAAAAGTTTTTAAAAAATCATGTCAATTCCATGAAAATTATTCAAAATTCAAATGAACTTGTAAATTCCATATTTCAGCAGATTCTTATTGCTTACAGTTATTTATTAAAAACAATTTGAAAATTAATTTGAAATTTTTCAACAATTAACTGTTCAGAGTTTATTTGCGGCCTTATTGTGAATTTTAATAGTGATTCAATACTTTTATTTTGATATTTTTAATTGTCTTCACAGTTTACAATAATTCATTTATAATTAAAAACTAATAGGTATGTCACCTAACAAAAATTATGATGTATAATATAAAAACAAAAAGAAACATTTATATATGAACAACCTTCACATAAAAATAAATGCAGAAATTCAACTAAATGCATTAAAATGCAAAATGAAAATAAAAACCCTGTGAAAAATAACAAAAAATATCAAAAGCTTAACTTTAATGATCTGTTTTTTTCTAATATGATGCCACAATCATGTAATAAAGGAGCCACAACAACAAAAGTGACCCGAAAAGATAAGCTACAATAATTTAGGTTCAACTATACTTTAAAGAAGAACTTCGGTTTACTCTGTTTTCTTTTATACTTTTTTCCAAAAGCCAAATCAGAGTTACAATGTCTCCTTCTTTTTGCTGTGGTCTACTTTTAATGCTTATTGAAAAAAGATTTGACATAATAGATATAATACTCAATTGAAAGCTTTTTCGTAAAAAAAAAACCAACTAAACTATTTCAGAGTTAATAGTACATTCACATGATTTTGACAGAATTTCCTTTTTTTTTTGGACAAAGTCTAACTACAAGATTTGGAGGGAATGTACTGAAAAACAATAAATAAATGAACAAAATAAAATATAAATAATATCACAGAAATTCTCAGTAATATCCACTTTGTGCATTTCTGTACAAATCTTTATTACAAAGAATATAAAATTTGCATAAAACACTTGTTGTAGTTAAACATAATGTTGTTTGTTCAATTTGTAATCAGCCTATTAAATATATACATATTTATTTTGGAATATCTTTTGTTTGTAAAGACAATTAAGTTATACATTTCTCATTCTTCTACTTTAATACTTCTCTACATGATCGTTGTATACATTGGCACTGAACTATGGATAATTATTTTCTAACTTCCTGATTAAAATATTTGATATTTTTCTAATAATACGAGTAGAATATTTCAGCCTGCTTCGTTTCTTATTCTATCCATTTAAACACTATTTTGTCCACACATTATAGCAAAATACATGTAATATGTTGAGACTTTTTTATGTACTTTATAATACAGAAATGTTGAACTAAGCTTTGAGAAACTGGCCTTTTGGATGAATGCTTCGAATCAAGTATCTGTAAATGACATAGCATACTTTATATTCCTGTAAATTATCTTTGACCCATTATAAATGTGATTTGATCCAGTTCAATATTAATAATATTTTTTCCAAACTTATGCAATACAGTTTGTAATAGTAGCCGACTACATTTTAGATTTGACTTAGTCAAACAGACATTTCTTGAGGAATTGATTTAAATTGAGCTGCTGCCAGATTCATATAAAAACACATGGCCAATTAACGTTTACACAAAAATAAGTTTGAACCATTTCACACATTTTATATAATGTCAACAAGAGTGCACACGCTGAAATGTCTCGCCTTCTTTTCTAATCATTGATACTATGTTGATAGTCCTAAATATAAAGTTTTATTACAACTGTCACATAAACTTAACATTAACCAAGTAAACTAAACATTGACCAATGAACCATGAAAATGAGGTCAAGGTCAGATGAACCATGCTAGGCAGGCATGTACAGCTAACAATTCTTCCATACAACAAATATAGTTGACCTATTGCTTATAGTTTAAGAAAAACAGACCAAAACACAAAAACTTAACACTGAGCAATGAACCTTGAAAATGAGGTCAAGGTCAAATAAAACCTGCGTGACTGCCAAATAGATCATAAAATATTTCTATACACCAAATATAGTTGAACTATTGCATATAGTATAAGAAAAACAGACCAAAACACAAAAACTTAACTATAACCACTGAACCATGAAAATGAGGTCAAGGTCAGGTGACACCTGCCAGTTGGACATGTACACCTTACATTCCTTCCATATACCAAATATACTAGACCTATTGCTTATAGTATCTGAGATATGGACTTGACCACCAAAACTTAACCTTGTTCACTGATCCATGAAATGAGGTCGAGGTCAAGTGAAAACTGTCTGACGGGCATGAGGACCTTGCAAGGTACGCACATACCAAATATAGTTGAACTATTGCATATAGTATTAGAAAAAAAGACCAAAACTCAAAAACTTAACTTTGACCACTGAACCATGAAAATGAGGTCAAGGTCATATGACACTTGCCCGCTAGACATGTACACCTTACAATCATTCCATACACCAAATATAGTAGACCTATGGCATACAGTATAAGAAAAACAGACCAAAACACAAAAACTTAACTATAACCACTGAACCATGAAAATGAGGTCAAGGTCAGATGACACCTGCCAGCTGGACATGTACACCTTACAGTCCTTCCATACACCGAATATACTAGACCTATTGCTTATAGTATCTGAGATATGGACTTGACCACCAAAACTTAACCTTGTTCACTGATCCATGAAATGAGGTCGAGGTCAAGTGAAAACTGTCTGACGGGCATGAGGACCTTGCAAGGTACGCACATACCAAATATAGTTATCCTATTACTTATAATAAGAGAGAATTTAACATTACAAAAAATCTGAACTTTTTTTTCAAGTAGTCACTGAACCATGAAAATGAGGTCAAGGACATTGGACATGTGACTGACAGAAACTTCGTAACATGAGGCATCCATATACAAAGTATGAAGCATCCAGACCTTCCACCTTCTAAAATATAAAGCTTTTAAGAAGTTAGCTAACTACGCCGCCGCCGGATCACTATCCCTATGTCGAGCTTTCTGCGACAAAAGTCGCAGGCTCGACAAAAATTGGACGATCTGACATAATGAATTTAACTTTCTTTCCATAATTTAGAAATATCTTATGGATATATACAGCTCCACCTTAATCCAATGTTGAAGCCAGATAATCAAGCACATTGAAATAATAACAATCTTTAGGTGGCAAATATAATGATAACTATGGCATAGTTCTTTGTAATATCACAGATAATATAGATTTCCCTGTAACAGTCAATGAATTTCACTGTAAGCTCATTCAAAATAACAACTACCGTCCATGTGGTTCAAAAGCTTTAGGACGGACATGTGATCTGGATGAACGAGTTGGTGTCATGTATTTAGGTGACCTGTAATAAAATAAAATATAATATAATATAATATTGAGCATGATCACATACAGTACCCTCTAATATCCTTCAAAACAGAAGTGCCCTTCCATATAATCTTTCCAGTTTACAGTTTAATTATATTTCTAATAATGAATCTTATCTGTGGTTTTGATAAAGGTAAACCTTGATTAAACTTATAGTGGATCTAACATAATATTAAGGTGCTACACATGCCATAGGAATGATTAAGGCTAAAGGAATAATAATGTGATATTTGCCAGTCCCTTTCAACTAGGGAAAAACATGTCCTCATCTCTGTTTCTTTTTTTTTCATTTACCTGATAACCAAACTCATTCACAGACTTAAAGATTTATTTGATGCTGTTATCCATCAGAACATTATACATTTATGTGAAATGTGAAAGCAGTTATAACGACGACACTTTCAGGTCATTCAGGATTGCTTCATTAATATAATGAGATCAACATGTTTTGGTGCCTAGGGCACCGTCATCAGGATAAAAACAATACAGAAATTATGCTGAAGTATAAAATCTGGAAGGTATAAATAACGCCACAATGTAACCATGGTGAATATAAATAGAAAGTGAAAGTATACATGTATGTAAGTAAACTTGAATAAGAAAGTTGAATAAAATGTGAATGTCATTGAAATTAAATGGTTTGTTGATATTATTCTGCCAAAGTCTGTTACTTGCTAATAAAAAAGAATGAAATATGTGTTTGTCATCTTGCATAATGGAACTAAAATATTTAATAAATAACTGTTCGACTGTATGGTTTGTGTTATGTAAAATGGTATCATAATATATTTTACACGCTACTGTTTTTATTTTTGTTAACCTTGATTAAGGCTTACTATTAAAACAACAAAACATTGTAGGTATTTATTATGATCATTTCTTTTTCAACAAATAACTGGTAAACAACTATGACTGCCATTTTGGATTGCAAATGGTTTGTATAAAGTTTTACTTAAATTAGCTTACTTACATAAGTAATTTCTTGTTGCATGAATTTTCAATTTTATATAATAATAAACTGTTATCACGGAGATATGTCTCGCCTTTTTGTAATTTTGATAATGCAAATGTTGAAATTAAAATAGCAATACTTTAACATATAAGTTATGCAAATATTCAAATTCGATGAACCATGACTGAAGGTACATGGCTAAACAATCTCCATGGAATGAGATGTGCCAATGCTAATACAACTGCATACCAAATACCATTGACTTATTATAAGTCATTCCCTTTAAACAAACCTAAACACAAACATTAACTTGTAAACTATGTAAAAGTTTCAAAGTCAATAAACCATGATCAAGGGTGGGGCTATATAATCTCCATGGAAACGATACTTACAAATGCCAATAAATTTGCATACCAAATATCATTGACTTAACATTAGCAGTTCATCTTAAACTGATCTAATCAACAAACTAATACATGTAAACTAAGCAAAAGTTTCAAAGTAAATAGACCATGACTGAGGGGGCGGTGCCAAATATTCTCCATGGAAATGAGATGTGGTAATGCTTATACAACTGAACTTCAATTAACATTGGCCTACCACTAATGGTTCCCCTTAAACTGACCTAATCACAAACTAATACATGTAAACTTAGCAAAATTTTCTAAGTCTATAGACCATGACTAAGGGGGCGGAGCCGAATAATCTCCATGGAAATGAGATATGCCAATGCTTATACAACTGCATACCAAATATCATTGACCTACCACTAGTGGTTCCCCATAAATTGACCTAATCACAAACTAATACATGTAAACTATGAAAAGTTTCAAAGTCAATGGACCTTGACTGAGGGGGCGGGGCCAAATAATCTCCATGGTAATGAGATGTGCCAATGCTAATACAACTGCATACCAAATATCATTGACCTACCACTAGCGGTTCACCATGAACTAGACATAATCACAAACTAATACATTGTTGACGTCGCCGCCCACGCCGGAAACAGCATACCTATGTCTCGCTTTTTGACTCTGTCAAAGCGAGACAAAAATTATACTTTTTTTTATCTAAATGTGATATTTCATTTACCAGTGCTAATGCACTTTGGATACAAAAAAATGACTTGAGAACTGAAATAAACCATTGGTAGGGTGGAAAGGAAAAAGATGGTGATCTCCATTTAACCTTTTTATTTCCTATAAAATAAAATGCTCCGCAGGGCGCAGCTTGATACGACCGCAGAGGTCGAACCCTGAACAGTTGGGGCAAGTATGGACACAACATTCAAGCTTGATACAGCTCTGAATTTGGATTGTGATTAAATATTTGACACAGCATAGGTTTCTGACACAGAATGAATGTGGTCTAAGAACTTAAAAATTTTAAATTGGACATTCACCTATTATGGTCCAATATCCAAAATCTAAATACATGGTAAGATTCAGCATATCAAAGAACCCAAAGAATTCAATTTTTGATGAAATCAAACAAAGTTTAATTTTGGACCCTTTTGACCTCAATGTGGACAAAGTTGATAACGGGGCCCAAAATCTATTCAGCATATCAAAGAACCCCATATATTCAATTTTTGTTGAAATCAAACAAAGTTTAATTTTGGACCCCGATTTGGACCAACTTGAAAACTGGGCCCATAATCAAAAATCTAAATACATGTTTAGATTCAGCATATCAAAGAACACTAAAAATTCAATTTTTGTTAAAATCAAACTAAGTTTAATTTTGGACCCTTTGGACCTTAATGTAGACCAATTTGAAAACGGAACCAAAAATTAAGAATCTAAATACACGGTTAGATTCGGCATATCAAAGAACCCCAATAATTCAATTTTTGATGAAATCAAACAAAGTTAAATTTTGGACCCTTTGGACCTCAATGTGGACCAATTTAAAAACGGGGCCCAAAATCCAAAAACTTAATACACGGTTATATTCAGCATATTAAAGAACCCCAAGAATTCAAGAATAAAACCCCATTGAAATTGATCGAGAAATAAGCAATTTATAAGAAGTATCTTCTTTTGCACAATACTGTGCAATTGAATATTTCTTGCTATTGCGCAATACTGTACAATTGACAATTTCTTGCTATTGCGCAATATTGTGCTATTGGATATTTCTTGCTATTGCGCAATACTGTGCAATTGAAGATTTCTTGCTATTGCGCAATACTGTGCAATTGAAGATTTCTTGCTATTGTGCAATACTGTGCAATTGAAAATTTCTTGCTATTGCACAATACTTATTATATAAAAATTTACACATCCTGTTTGGTGTGTATCTCCTACCATATCATTATTATTTGCTTTTAAATATAAATCAGAAATAACCAACTTAAAATGGAAAATTTTAAAAGAAAAAAAAAAGGAAAAAAAGAAAAAAAAAGAAAAAAAAAAAATCCCCCCCCAAATTTTTTGAACCCCCTTATGATTCATCACCCCCAAACTCAATCCCAGCCTTCCCTTTGTGGTACGGTACCTTGCAGTACAATTTCAGAGAGATCCATACACTTGAACACAAGTTATTGTCTTGAAACTGGAAAAATGCTTATTTTTGGCCCCTTTTTGGCCCCCAATTCCTAAATGTTTCAGGCAATTACCCCCGAACTCAATTCCAGCTTTCCCTTTGTGATATGAAACCTTGTAGTACAATTTCAGAAATATCCAAACACTTACACACAAGTTATTGTCATGAAACTAGAAAAATGCTTGTTTTTTGCCCCTTTTTTGGCCCCTAATTCCTAAAATTTTGAGGCAATTACCCTCAAAATCAATTACAGCCTTCCCTTTGTGATATGGAACCTTGTGGTACAATGTCAGAGAGATCCATACACTTACACACAAGTTATTGTCTGAAAGTTACAAAAATGCTTATTTTTGGCCCCTAATTCCTTAACTGTTGGTATCATAACCCCCAAAATCAATCCCAACCTTCCTTTCGTGGTATTGAACCTTATGGTAAAATTTCATGGAGATCCATTCACTTAAACTAAAGTTAGAGTGCGAAAACCAATGTGTCTTTGGACGACGCCGGACGACGACGACGCCGCCAACGTCATACCAATATACGACCAAAAAATTTTTTATTTTTGCGGTCGTATAAAAAACAATAGCTGAAATTACAATCAACTAGTTTGCTTTCTTTTAACATAATCATGTTTTCACTATATAATTCATATAAAATAAAAGAAGTTTTGCACAGCCTGCATAGTTTTAAAAACACTTTTATCATAAAATAAGGTTTATATATATTTTATCTTTTTTTTTAATAAAACAAAATCAACTATATTTTGGCAATAAAATATAATGTTCTGTAGTTTTTAGTTTAGAACCCCAATATATCTTCAATTCTGAACTGAATATGCATTAAACAGGTAAGTGACATATCTATCGCCTTTAAACAGTAACAATTTCATAATTAAATCAGAAAAAAAACAAAAACAAAAATGTTATACTTACCTAGTATCAAAAGTACCTGTAACTTACCCAAGTGTACACTCATAAAACCTGCATGGATTTATTAAACATTTACAGAAACTAATTTACCAATGAGTAAACTCAAGAAGCCTAATACACTGATTGTAAGCATCAAAGATAAATCTAATACCAGAGATATATTGCTCAAAACAAACAAAAGTAAATTCAACGATTATGAATAATACCAACGATTTTAATAAAACAAAAATGTTTTATAAATTCATAAAACTTTAAGAAATTTTTAATTTTTTTAATGTTTCTTTTCCGAAATTGTTTGCTTTAGATGCAACTAGATCTAGGTTAGTAATAATGCTTTTTACTGTCAATATGAAATTTTTTTCCTTCACATTCTGATAAACTAGACAACTACCACACAATGAAGAGGTAATATTATCTTTACCTTTAACATTCAGGTGTTAAAATCTTCAAATGTTGTGTGGTGTTTTCAGACATATAATTTAGTTAAATATTTACACTGACCAAAGAATAATAATTTTGATTTCACAACATGTTTAGCAGAAAGGTCTTTTTTGTCAAATTACTTAGGTTAGGTCTGCCCAGAACCTTTTTAAAAACACTAAAACAAATCATACAAAGATTTAGGGAGCCCCAGATCCACAGAAAAATATCACCCCTGTTCAAGGATACAAAGCCGAAGTGCAGTTATCTTTTCCATGGAAAGTTGTATATGTTAATACTTACTTATCAGTTTTCTTACTGCTAGTTTTGGGAGTGGCTGCTTTAGCAGCAACAAAGGAAATATCTGAATCTTCTCTGTAAACAAACAAACATCAATGTGTTTAGACATTCTTAGAACAAAAAGTCATAAGGCAAAAATATATATCCATTACCACATAAACTGTATCAAAGTGGTTTAAACTAGCAAATCTTGTAATTTAAAAAAAAAAAGAGAGATTGTATTGATCTGTAGATGGAAAAAATGTTTTAAAAGAAGCAAAGCGTACAACTGGCAGACATATTGGTATAATGTAAGATTGTTATTGCTATAAATAGAGCAAATGTTCATCAATACTCAGCACAGTACTAAAGTGAAAATTACTATTCCTTTGACAGTATGTTTACATAATAGTAGGCAGACTTACTTTATAGGCAAGAATTCAGCACTCGTGGAGTCAAAGAAGTCTTCTTCACTATGACCTTTATGACAATCTCTGGTAGGTATCTGAGGCTGGAATAATTCATTTTAAATATTGTCAACTTACTTTTATAATATCAATTATAATATAGAACAAGCATGTGTGTCCATAGTACACCAAGTACTGCTTTCATCATCAAATATCCATATTCAGTGAACTTAGAAATTTGGGTAAAACCCTAATTTGGCATTTATCTTAAAAGTTCACTACTAAGTTTAAAGCTAACCATAACTTCATGGTAAACTAGCTTAACCAAAAGCTTTAACCTGGTATAGGATGGCTAGACACACAGACCAAATAAACTGCTTCGCTGAGCGCAGCTGGATACGCCCGCAGAGGTCCAACCCTGAACAGTTGGGGCAAAATAGGACACAATATTCAAGCTTGATACAGGTCTGAATTTGGATTGTAAATAAATATTTGACATATTATAGGTTTCTGAATAAATGTAGTCAAAGAACTTGAAATTGGTTATATGAATTGAATTTATATTCAATTAAAGATTTCTTGCTGTTGTGCAATACACTGTGCTGTTGTGCAATACACTGTGCTGTTGCGCAATACTTAGTAAATATTTATCAAAGGTATCAGGATTATAATTTTATACGCCAGACGCGCGTTTCATCTACATAAGACTCATCAGTGACGCTCAGATCAAAATAGTTATAAAGCCAAACAAGTACAAAGTTGAAGAGCATTGAGGACCCAAAATTCCAAAAAGTTGTGCCAAATACAGCTAAGGTAATCTATGCTTGTGATAAGAAAATCCTTAGTTAATCTGTTGTCAGACTATAAACAAATAAAGTTCAATTTCTTCTCAATGTCATATCTATAATTTATGAAAATCAATAGGGAGATTACATCAATAGCTATAAATAATTCACCAAAGTTTCATGCGAACTGCTTAAAGCATTTTTGAGTTATTGTCCAAAAACTGGAAAATCCCCCCTTTTTTAATGAATAAAACCCCATAACTCAGAAATGTAAAATCTAAAATTTATAAAATTCTAAAGGGAGCTTACATCAAAAGATATAAACAATTCACCAAAGTTTCATGAGAACTGCTGAAAGCATTTTTTAGTTATTGTCCAAAAAACTGGAAAATCCCCCTTTTTTATTAATAAAACCCTGTAACTCATAAACGTAAAATCTAAAATTTATAAAAATCGAAAGGGAGCTCATGTCAATAGATATAAACAATTCACCAAAATTTCTTGCAAGTTGGTGAAAGCATTCTTGAGTTATTGTCGGAAAACTGGAAAATCCCCCCTTTTTTAATGAATAAAACCCCAAAACTCAGAAACCTTTAATCTGAAATTTATAAAAAACGAAAGGGAGCTCACGTCATAAGATATAAACAATTCACCAAAGTTTCATGCATATTATTTAAAGCATTTTTGAGTTAATGTCCGACATGTTGACGACAGATGGACAGACGGACAACGGTATACCATAATAAGTCCCATAATTGTGCATATAAAAACATTATAAGGTAGGCCATCAAAATCATTGTTTTGTTAAATCATTGAAAATAGCCCTTTCATTCAGTATTAAAATTCCTGTTTTTTTAACTAGATTATCCATAAAAAATGGTACCATATAAATTAAAGTTCATTCACAGTCCATTTCAAAACAAGAGGTTGACAAAATGATACCAGGTCAAAAATGATTTTTTTTAAATTTAATTATTCAATAACTTAGTCAAAAGTTATATTTTTGCAGAGTGAACTGATTTTGAAACACCCATACTTCTCTTCGAAAAATTTCATTGCTTTGGGAGACTCTGATCTAAAAATATAAGGATTTTGGAAACTGGGTATCAGATCTAACCATAATTATGCTTTATTGATGTGACTCATACCATATACATACAAAGTGTACTGTCTTTATTGAAACATACCTCTTCTTCATACTCCCTCCTCACAGCATCACTGAGTTCTCTCTTTAGTGTCAGTATATGTCTCCTATGTGATTCTATCTCATCCTCTAAAGCTTTCACTTTAGCATAGGCTTGGTTCTGGTGATCTACAAATGCTCCTACCAAATTCTGTAAATATACAAGCATAAGATTAATTTACTAAATGTTGTTTGCTTAAGACCCAGACATAGGAATGATTACTGTTTATACTATGTCAAACTCTATATTGAAGACAGGAAAATCTGTATCAAAAGTAATCCTTATGTGTGTTTATTCTAGAAATATAAAGATATACTGCAGTATTCTCCTACAAATTTCATATAGCATCCTGGTAAACAAAGAATTTTAAAGTACCATCTTGTTTCTACAAATAAAATCACATCCATAATAATCTATTAGAAAACCCATTCAGATAATTCTAAAGGCCCTGGGGAGAACACTGCATGATGTGAATATAGATATAACATGAATATAGGTAATATTTTCTTTGAAGGGTGATGATAAGTTTTATTGACATTAAAATCATGTAATTGTTTCAGGTAGCATTTATTTTTGTTCTCTTCTACAGTTGATTATCAATGAAAATGTGATGTGAATAATAAACAGTTATGCAAAGGTCAGCATGATACAACAACAGCATACTAATATTATTTACCTGCCTTTACCACTTCATTTTACAAATTGAAGACTAGATCAAATCCATTTGTACAAAATGGTAGGAATTTTTTGGAAAAAATCAATAGGACAAAAAATAAATTCTTACAAATGTTAAGAGCCACAATAATAAGTGAGAATACTATGTCTTGGATTTAACAGCAAGAATAAAAAATATAATGGTCATAAATAATTTAATTTTAAATAAAGGTTCTTGTCAATAATGGCAAATTCTTAACACAAATAACAAGTGAAACTGCGAGCTACTGCTCACTGATGATACCCCCGCCCAAATATTTTGCTAAACAGGAAGTTGTTGAGTGATGAATCTGAAAACTCATCACACAGATTAGCTGACTTATATAAACCCTGAAACCAAATTTCAGAAATCCTTGTAATGTAGTTCCTGAGAAAAATGTGACAAAAATTTTCAACTTGGCTATCATGTTAAAATGATAAAAGTGTTCGGTAAACAGGAAGTTGTTGAGTGATGAATCTGAAAACGCATCACACAGTATAGCTGACTTATATAAACCCTGAAACCAAATTTCAGAAATCTTTGTAATGTAGTTCCTGAGAAAAAATATTCATGAGACGGACTGACGGATGGATGGACTGACAGATGGACAGACTGACTAATGGACAGACAGACAGAGGTAAAACAATATACCCCCACTTTTTTAAAAGCGGGGGTATAAAAATCAAATTCACACATAATTAAACTTTTTAGAGCACAATGCATAAAGTATAATAAAACAAAATGGAAAAACAGCATGCAGTGATTATTCTGTCTTATCAATTCTTATGTTACTTTTTAACTAAATTAGTTTCTCAGCTAAAACAGATTAACTCTTGGAAGTACATGCACTTATAAATTAACCAAGTCAAATAAAATGAATTCATCAACATAAAACTTCAGTCTGAAATCAGATTCCTGAGTGAAACGTGATGAATGTTGGCTATAGTAACAGTGATGTGTTTCTCTGATCAGATTTTGTTACAATACCTGATTATCCACTGAGCTATGCAAAAATTGGTAATATGACATTGAATATCAAAACTATGATATATCTCAGCATATTCATTTAGACCATAAACCACTCATAATAAGAAATAATGGAAAATAAAAATTTTGTTCAAGATAGATAATTTATATATAAAATAACTTTTGCCTTTTGTCAAATCTTTCTTACGACTCCTGAAAGTCTTGACAACCTCTCCCTATATTCCTTGTGCAACCTTTAACCTGTGTTGTGGACACTGGTGTGCTCAGCAAGCAATGCTTTTAAAATACAAATTTCTCATTGTATAAACTTAACTTTATATCTCTGTTTTAAAACTTGAAAAAAAATAGCAGACATTTTCCAGAAATGAAGCAAAAAATACATGAACATGATGTCTTTTTTTTTTAAAGAGTAAAGCTTAAACAAAGATAAACAAAAGACAGAAATGATTAAAGGTTTCTTCATATCAGTACAGGAGGATAGCTAATACATTTTCTCTGTAGCAGACAATCTGGACATTACATAATATCATTCCAATCTGATAGCTTCACATGTAACAATGCTTAAAGATAGTAGTTGAGCTTAATGTTGCAGAATTAGTGCACATTTATCTTATCACACACAACTTACACAAACAGTGAAATACAGGCCCTGAAAATTGTGTACATGATAATTATTCAATATTACATAAGAGAATAAAAGAAATTTTTTTATGGAAATGCCTGTATCTAATCCATAATTTCTTGCAAGTGGTCAGTTCATTTCTATTCAGATAACTTAAATTTAAAGTTACTGAGTAAATTTGTTTCCAACAACAATCTTTTTTTAAATACCTACAGTATTGATTTACATTGAACTGACCAGTTACAAGAATAACCAAGTAAGGTACTTTCAGTTTTTATCTTAACCCATGAAACACCTTATGTAAATTTTATAGTTTCTTATTAAGTCATTACCATGTTTACAATTTAATTCAAATAATTTGATATAGATAAGAATAACGTCAAAAGTATAAAAATTAAGAATATTTCCATATTTTACAAAAAAAAAAAAAAATAAAAAATAGTTTCTGTATTTTACCTGGCAAGCTATTAGCTCTTGTCCTGCTTTCCCAACATCACCTGGTATAAAGTCAGCATTCAGTAAAAGCTTAGACAACGACATCTCTCGTCCAGTCACAGGTTTGGCTAACAATAATTCTTTCCTTGCCTTTAAACATAACATAAATAGATCTGACGATGCCATATTGCCAATTCATATTATTTTTCACTTAAAAAATAAATCCTTATACAATGATATTTTTTTTCAGCTATTGCCTAAAACTTCATCAGTTTACATTAATTGTTTGTGTTTTGTCAACCTTTTACTACAGTCAGTCTATCTAATGGAATATAAATCTATCATTGAAAAACTTGGTAAATAATTTCTACTGAGTCAAATTAATGGTTATTGTATGAAACAGTATGATACTTTCTAACAAAATTTGGCTCTTTTTTATTCTATTTATCCTAATTCAACAATCTAACTCACGACTTCTCTACAAATACATAAAACACTATCAAAAAGAAGAAATTATGTGGCTCAAAAATCGGGACTCTTAATAAAGTTCATTGCAATATTTTGCTCTTTCACAATCTATTGGGAGAAAATATAAGGAATGATAAGTTGACCGACTAATTTACAGTGATTGAGGTGACAGGTATTTATCTATTTTCATTGTATTACCTGTTCTAAAGCATTTTCCACATTCTTCACATAAACAATCAATATTTCTTTGTCTCTGTGAATATATATTCATATAAAACTGTGTAAAGATAAACAAAATACATATGTTATAATCATATATTTATTGAAATTGTGTTAAATGAAAATTTTTAATTATTGCTGTCATTATTTTAACTACATATACATTTACTTATGTAACCAGTGTGAAACTAACCTAACATATTTCCTTTTTTCAAAACTCTTTTAAAGAAATCCAAAAATCTTATTTACAGAAAATAAGTATATTTTGTGAAGGTTTCTACAGCAAATCTTACTTTGCAACAGTCCTTAGAGCTTTCTCAGCATCATGAATATTCTGCGTTAATGTCTTTTTGTCCCCTTCATATGTAATAACTTGTCTGTTTAACTGACGTAATGTCTGCTCTTTACGTTTCACTTCCATCTTTGTTTCTGCTAAACCCTAAAATTATTTGTAAATGTATACAATTTATATTCCTACTATATTATGTGTAAATATACAATTGATTTTCCTACTTCATTTAATATTTCTTCTATATTCAGAATCTCTCTCCGGGCAGATTCACCTATATTAATGTGAAGGCTTTATCTTAAACCCCTTTCTGTAGTAGTGATACACTGAAGAGATCTCACACTAACCCCTTATCCCTTTCTGTAGTAGTGATACACTGAAGAGATCTCACGCTAACCCCTTATCCCTTACTGTATTGGTTATTATTAGGGATGTCAACGAGTACTCAAGTATTCGAGTATTGCTCGGTAGTACCGAGTATCGAATATCAAAATGATACTCAACTAATTGGTTACCTGTTAGAATATTGCTGTCTTCTTTATTTAAAATTGATCTTCTTTAGAACTTCTTTCAGAAAATTAAATAGGTATCACTGATTAATCATACTAGTAAATAAAATACATTTTGTTTTCGAATGCTTGTGCTAAATTGTCATTTAAAATTCCTTCGAAAATATGTGGGTTATACCTAGGCTAACACTTTAAACTAAACATGTCTTAGCTATTCCGTCACATTGGAATATTTTCGTCTGCAAGACTGTAATTTACAAAGTTGCAAAACCGACTGTCTCCAACAAAAGTTGACATGAAAATATTTCTAAATAAAATAAATTCGTTGCATCCTCTGGTGACCCTCAGTGAAAAGTTAAACTTCTAATCCGTACACCTTTGTAAACATTAAATGTGTTTTCTTAACGATTACCAAATACTATTTTTTGATATGGTTTTTCCTTGTTATAATTTTAAAATAGGTGTTCATTAAATTATATTGATAAGATTCTTGTTTTTTTACCTAATTAGTACTTGTAGGTACATGAATGAGCTATTAATTATGGTGTGTAATTCCTTGTCCCAGATTCTTATGTAGATGTTTTTTCGTCCATTGAACAACAAACCACAGAATGTAAAATGCGTATTTTTGTGTTTCCGTGTTGTAGATATATTCCAGAGTGAGTACTTGAGTATCGCTCGATAAAACCATTGAGAACTCGATAAGTAATTGTTCACCGAGTTGACATCCCTAGTTATAATACAATAGATATCTTAATCTATCCCCTACCCCTCACTGTATTGATGATAAACTGGAGAGACCTGAAGCTAGCCTCTAACTTCTTACTGTACAGGTGATTCACTTTAATACTGTATTTGCGATACAGTGAAGGAAACTGAAGCTATTCTACAACCCCTTAAAGAAGTAGTGATTAAAATTTCAGTTATGTCCTGCCAGAAAGTATTGAATTACCCTATAAGGTGAAATAAATTGATAAAGAGCTTATTCTCTTCTCCTTACACTAACATCCCAAGCATAGTTATCCTTTGCTAGTTTTATATTGTTCTATTTAAGCCCTTGTCAATTAGTTGCTTGCATTATATTTACTTTTATTTAGCATTTAAAATTTTGATTTAAAAGTGTTCCTTAAAAGGTTTATTCAATAATAAATTTTAAAAGCAACAAAAAACAAGTTAATTTAAATTATAAGAACAAATTCAGTAATCATCTAGTTTTGCCCTATTTTGACTTACATGAACTGCTTCAGTAAGGGTCTGTTCTTTCTCCATCCCCTCTGTTGTGTACAGATCTAATCTCATTGTTACTTCTTCTAATTGTCTCCCTTGTTCTATTAATAACTGTTGAGCCTGTTGTTCTCTGCGTAGAGCATTGTTCAGTTCGTGACATACTGATTCAAATTTGTCCATACTAACATTATGTAATTCCTGTTTTAATAAAGAAATTTCAACTGCTGTTAACAAGAAAAAAATTACATAATCATCTCACTGCTATAAAATCTTTCTCAATACTGTGTATATTATTCATGGGAAACCAATTTTCGATGATTTTGTGGGTAATGGTGAACCATGAAATTAAATGTTCAACGAAAAACACATTTTCTATAGGCTTGTATGCAGACTTTGGCACAAAAGCAAAATCAAATTTCAACAAAAATACCCTTTCTATTAAATCCATGCAAATTGGTACCCATCAAAATAAATGAATCCACAGTATTGTGATTGCACTTTTTTATCGCTTGTACTTATTTTCAAGATATTGATGATTTTTTCTTGCGTATTTAATTTTGTGGTATTTCAAAAAATATATCAACATTTGAATAATAGACTTTTCAGTTTTTTTTTATGGAGTGTATATGATTACATAATAAAGGTGTCAAATTTACTTGGCTTGGGTCATTATTTGCTAAGTTATACCTTTTATCTTTAATTAATTTTTAGTACTGATGACTAGTGTTGTTTTTAATAAAGTGTATATGAAGTTATGTCAGGTAAACATACATGTACAGTTATAAATATTGGTGATGTTAATATAAGGGTTTGTAAACTGCATTGTATCCCTGTGCTTTTATTTTCAAAAATTATCCCTACAGAGAAATTCATTAAAATACATGTTATTACAGCAGGCTTTAATAAGCTTCTTTTGCAGCTAATGATATTTTTTTTCAGTCAATTTCAAAATATCAATTCCAACAAGACAAGAAATATCTTTGCCATCTTCTAAGAAGAAAGACTGTACAAAGTAAACATTTTGCATTCACGTACTTGGATAAAGTTCATACATTGAAACAAGTGTCAACAGACAATATGAGTTGTTTCTTTACAGATGAAAAACCCATGTGATATTGTAAATAGCAAATATAGAGCAAAACCTGAAAAAAATACTGCCAAACAAATTTCTTGATACTTAAGTAAACTTAAATAAACCTTTACAGAAATGTAAATACCTTATCTTTTAGAGTATTAAGTTCATCTTGTAGTTGTTCTACTTCCCCTCTATGAGGACCCATCTCATTTTCTTCTTTTAGTTTGTCTATTTCACACATTAAATTCCTTCTCTCAACCTCTACAGTGTGAAGCCTCTGTGTAAAATCTAAAATGTGATTCTGTAAAGCACCTAGTAATTCCTGAAAGTACAACATATGATTATATAAAAAACCATTAGCGAGCAAGCTCGATTACTCCTTAACCTCACATATTATGGGATATTTACAAGCCTTCCTCCCAAAAAATAGTCCTCTATTTAAGATATTCTGATTTTCAACTCATTTGAGGTTTAATGAGTAGAAACCTTCATCCAAATTTGAAAGGATGAACATCACCATAATAAATCATGTGGCTATACGTTGATAGTATTATCTCTCTGTATCATGTACAGGAATTGCACTCATTAAAATTGTCTGCTTTTGAAGATTTACAATTATAAAAGAATCATCTAAGTTTTGAATTTACAGTTCTCTACCAAGAGTAATTGAAAAGACTGTAAATAAAGTTAGTACAAATAGTAAACAAAACTTACTTGTAATGATACTAAATGTTGCTTCTGTTCTAGAGTCTGCCTATTACATGTGCTAGTTAATGCTCGACCCATCTGTCTGACCAGAGAGTTCCTTTCTCTGAATGCCATTTGTGGCTGACCAGGTACACCCTCAAAGTATTTGGAAATTTTATCTACTAATTTGGTGAAACAATTTTTAGCTGCATTTACAACTGCTCGAGATTCTGTTTGAGAAGCTGAAAAAAAAAAGATGGAAGTTTGAGATTTTTAAAATATAATTTGTAATACAAGATTGTTAATTGATTTTCATTTCAGTTGAAAAACATATTACATATTCTAATATTTTAACTTACATATTTTTAAGTATGTAAAATGTTTTATTAGTCCAAAATCTCTTCTTTTCTTAAGAATAGCAAAATGATTCCCTAATTGTTCAAAGAACTATAAAAACCTGCTTGTGCCCTAACCACCCAATGTATAACTTATCTTCATTATTTAAAAGTACTTCTTTTTTAGTAAACTTTCCTTTGTAGCCTTCAACTTATCTATAAAGCCAGCAAGAATAAAAATTTAGCTTCAATTAATTTTTTGCTAAATATACTTATTGATAATGGTTATCAATTTTATTTTTTGTGTGAAATTCTTGTGTCTTAATCATTTCTAAATAACTTTGATTCACTTATTTAGTTTGCAACACATTCAAAGGTTGAACTATTTTCGTTCTTGTATTGAAATTCTGCACAAAAATATACCACATGAATTAACTTGCATGGTAAATGACAATGATGAAATCGAAATATATGCCAAAGCAATAACCTAGGAAGTTTTTCTGAACCAAACCATCATGTCAGGTACAAAAATCAGTGTACATTCATTATTACACGATTGTGTTTTTCTTCAGTTTTCAGGTTATTTCTTGGTGTAGTTGGGTGTTTGTCTAAATAACTCACACCCCATTCCACCTTATATTTGTATTTAATTCCTATGGATTTGTTAAGATCATTATAAAGAAAAGAAAGCTGGACATGTCAGTATCATCATCTTAGCACACTGCTAAAAGCAGTTCACAGTCAAGTAGCCCATTACCTATTTATACTTTTATTTTATTTCGGTCATTGTATTGGCATAAATAGTTTTGTAATTCTGTATTTGGGTGAAATTTACTTGATTTTCAGTTGTTTTACTGTTATCTTATGAAAATATAGCTTATTAAAAAAAAGCATAGAGGAGGCAACTCTTGATATTCATCTCATTATAGACATAGCAAAAACATCAATTTTAAAGAATAAGACTGTGGCACTGGAACACACAAAAGGAAAAATTAAAGAAAATTCCCATGTTTTCACAACATATTCCATAAATATTTAAGCTATGCTTAAGAATTGACTGTGTGTGTCCAAAATATAAGATTTTTTTATTAATGTCTCTGGTAAATGCATGCTAACTTGAGAGATGAATTTTAGAGGCAAAGCTTACCTCTGTGATAAGTAAAAAAAAGTTCTTTTTGAGTTATTCAAGACTTCCATTAATGTGTGTTTATGGTTTAGAAAACCATTTGAGCATAACATACCTTTATCTTTGTCCTTGACATGGTCTATGACCTCTAGGAAGTCAGAGGTTGATGTAAGAATTGTGTTCAGTAATTCTGGATTAGAAAACCATTGAAGCATGACTTCTGGTGACTGCTGTTCATGATCAAAGTCTTCTTTAGCACCTAAAATCACCAAAAGAACTACAAATGTACCATCGAAATAACAAGTCATGTTTTGACAGCTTTTAAGATCATGAAAAACTAAGCAAAAAGTATTCATCCATCATATCAAAACAACTATAACATAAGTTTTGATGATTTGTCTCTTTAGTTACTATGTTAATTTACGATAGAATGATTTGCAACTGTTTAAAAAGATGTATTTATTTATCTGTATGTATAATCTCATTGATTAATACGTATTTATTTATCTGTATGTATAATCTCATTGATAAATACAAGTACAAATACAACTAACCTGAGATTGAAATTGTTGGTGGTTTAACACCTCCAGTACAAACAACTAAACCGTTCTGTGGTGAAACACCAGTATCATATGTTACAAACATTCGTGAACAGCTATGTCTTAAACATCTGAGTCTATTGGCTGCTATCACTGTTACAACACCCACCCTGAACAATAATAATGGTTGTCTACGAGAGTTAACTGGTTTGGATTTCTCTGTTATGGACCCTTCCTTCACTACTTTCATTTCCTCTCCTAACGTAGCCACTAACAGTTCTATCCTGTCTCTACAGAACTCCCAGTTAGTTAACTGATCTTCTAAAATCTTTCTCTGTAATGACAACTGACTGTTCCTAGAGCACAATGGAAAGAAAGCCCCTGACAACAAACTAATAGCTGCTAACAATGCTGTGTTATGTTTCCGTGACTCTGTCAACTGTTGACGGAGGTCTACAACTTCTCCCTCTAGACCCTGTTTTACACTTCCTGTCATTCTGATCTTCTCCCAAGCTTGATCTGCCATGGCCTGACTTTTCTGCAACGAGAAAATTTTTTATTCAATGCTAGGAATGTTATACTAGTTATTGAAACATACTAACTGAAATATTCAATATGTAAATAAAACTCTATGCTACAGCTTTTGATAGACATGTTAATATACATTTCTTTTCTTATCTATACATCAATTAGAATCATTTAACAATCACTTCTTAATATTTAATATCTAAACAAATTTTTATGAACATCTGATAAAGCATGTAGAAGGTTTGTGTCCACAAAGTATATACAGAATAAAATTAAAAAATTCTATGTGCCAAAGAGCATAACTCTGTGATTTGTCAGTACTAAGAAGCCGATGTATATTCATATCTCTCAATATATAAAATTTCATGAATATCTGATGAAACAAGTAGGAGGAGTTGCATCCACAAAGTACATACTGAATTGTATTAAAATTTCTAAGTGCAAAGGGCATAAATCTGGGATTTTTAGACATACCAGAATGCATTTCTACTATATACATTTTCATGATAGCATCTTATAAAAGATTCATGAACATCTAATAAAGCAAGTAGGAGGACCTGTGGTCACAAAGTGCATACGGAATAAAAATAAATTTCTATGTTTAAAGCAGATAATTCTGGGATCTATCAACCAACAAGACTGTCTTACAAATTTAACAATGCATATATTCATGTTAGGATATAACAATGAACAGTCTCATGAATATATGATGTATCGCGTAGGACTTGCATACAAAAAATGCAAACTAATTAGTATAAAATATTCTCAATTTAGGGGGCAATAATTCCCTAAATATTCATGATAAAAAATATTATTTGTGCTGAAAAGTTGTTGGATCATAATATGTAATTGTACAAAAGACTTAAATGTTAGTTCTGACAAACAGACAGGTTGATTCCCAAACATAAGTTTTGGGGTGGGGTATAAAAAAGCTTGCACATCCATTACAATATGATTGTCCACTAACAGATATTCATTGGTAAACAACAGGATGGATTTTTTTATAGTCAGTATAAAGTTACAAAAATGCAGATTTAATTTTCAAGGATGTAAGTCAATGTATTATAGAAAAGGATGGATGGACAAAATGCTTACTGCAGGGCTTCCATTTATCTTTGTCTGGCCCTAAAATATCAAGAACCTTAAAATTTATACCTTGAAACAAACAAATTACAGCTTTCAAATCCAGTCATCATTACCATGAAGATAAAGCAACTACTTTACCAATATTATTTCATATCTTATTGATTTTGACAATAGTAAATATGTAATTTTACTGAAACCATTTGTTAATAGCCAGTCTTTATAATACTACACATCCTCCTTATCAATTTTGATAGCTAAAGCAACTAATTCATCATCTAGGATATAAAAGATATCAATGTATGTTTAAAGTTTAAACAACCAGTTCAAATATAAGTAAACTGTAGAGTTTTCAAGGACTTCCAACCAACCTTAGATCGATTCTGTAACTCATTTAATAACTGTTGATAATGTCCCTCTATTTCTTCTTTCTGTTTCTGCCATGACAGTTCTCTTTCTTTAGTGAGTGATGTCAGTTTGTTTAGTTGATCTTCATATGATTTCTGTATCTCCTCTACAGCTCCTTCCTTGGCTCTTAAAGCTTCCTCTAAATGATGTACCTGTATAATATAAACACACCAACATTAAATACTAGCTGGAATGTTACTTTCTTTGTAATGTTGATTATTGGTTGACGATAATATGACCATGGCAATAAATTTATGACAGATACTATGGAATATAAAAACTCTTTTTGGGAGGATATATTTCTTACAATTCTACATATAAAATTTCCCATATGTGACATCATCACAGATACATGTATTACAATATCATGGGACATAGATAGATTCAAAGGTAATCTCCATAGAACAGGCTGATGAAGGGGACTGTGGTGCTAACAAACCTTTTCTTCAGCTCTTTGATGAGATGATACTAAGGCAGATACTTGATCATACACCAAACTGGCTAAATCACCCCAGGAAAACTGGTTCAATCCATGGTCTTTGGCTGACACCATGACTCGCCCTGCCAACAGCCTTTGGTACATTCCATGGAGAAAAGCTAATTTTTCTTCATCATTATTCTTTTGTCTTTTCACAAGCTTCATAATCTGTTAAAAAAAAAATTCAAGTTAATGCTAATGTGGAATATTTGTAAATAATGAACTTATAGTAAAATACAAATTGTCAGTCTTAGAAAGAAAAAAAGCCATTTTTTTTTTGCCCATATAAACCTAAAAAATAAGTGTTAAACATCTTTCAATAACTGGAAATCATCCTTCAGATTATCATCAATAAAATTATTAAGATAAATATATCCAAATATCTCCTTACTCATTTACTTAACTTGCTCTAACTGTATCCATATTCATAATGAGGATTGCAAAAACTTTCAAAATCACCCTGTTTTTACATAACTTCATCATTTTTAAGTATGAGAGATACCTTTCCCCAAGTAGATAATTTGCAGCAAGAAGTCTTTCCAAAACTGTTATGAATCCTTGATTTGTTCCATAAATTTGTTGCTCTATTCAATTCTGTCCCAGAGACCATCTTCCTAGACGTGACTAGTAAGCTGTCCTATGATCAAGACATACATGTACCTCTTCCAACTATTCATGGACACTAATCTATCTACATCCTGATTAGGTATACTATAGATAAAGTCTATCTCCTCAATTCATGGACTCTTTCCTATCTCTGGTCTGATTAAATACTGTACACTGACCAAGACCTACATTCCTTCCCATTGTTTATCTGAATTAATACTATACAATGATAAAGGCTTACTACCTCCTGTGATAATTCATGGACCCTTTTCCTATCTTTGGTCTGATTTGATGCTGTACTATGGCTTCACACCTACCTCCTCTGATAATTCATGGACCCTCTTTCTATCTTTGGTCTGATTTGATGCTGTACTATGATAAAGGCCTACCTCCTCTGATAATTCATGGACCCTCTTTCTATCCTTGGTCTGATTTGATGCTGTACTATGAAGGTCTATCTTCATCTTAGTAAGAGTACTCTCCAGTTCACCATACTCTGATCTGACTCTATTCAATTCCTTGGCTGTCCTAGTGTAGTTCTTTTGAGCATCCTGTGTAATTAAAAGAAATCTCTATTAACCTTAATGTTAATTTTTAATAATACCAAACTTGTCTGTGGAAAATCACGTTTTCCATACTAGAGCCTAGTCAAAATCGTGCACCGAATCAACAGCCTGTCATTTCATTAAAGCTTAATATAAAAATAAGATGTGGTATGATTGCCAATGAGACAACTATCCACCAGAGACCAGATGACATAGAAGTAAACAAATTAACCCTTGTTAATATTCCTGCTAGCAGTAAAGACATGGAAAGAGTAAGTCCCATTAGTTACCAGACATCAAGTGTTCAGTGTGAAGTGAAGACATGCTATATAAACTTGTTTTTTTTTTGCATTTAGATTCATTGCTATGGATTTAAGTCATAAATGAACAGGTTTGTTGTATATATTTTGTCTACAGTAAAGCAGTCAATGAATTACTTGAAAACTAGTATAACTTATAAACAACTACTTATTTTATTTTAGAAAAATCCACAATGAATTTCAAATTCTTAACATTTCTTAATTAGTGAATAGAAAATATTTACCCATAGATACCAATGTTACAAAACTTGTGTTTACAGTTTTAAAAGTAAATCCCTAAGATATAGAAAACAAATTTCCCTCACAGGTCACCTGCACCATAACTAAATGTTAAAATAATTTAAAAAGCCACCATCAATTAAGTAGCTTAACTATATATTGGCCAATGTAATGAAGTAACTTTTCACTACTTTATTACTTCAACAGAAATAAAGATATTTTCTGTTTAAACAATATACCTGTAAACTTTGTTCTTTTGTTTGAATTCTATTCTGTATGTCAAAAAATAACTTACAAAATTAAGATTTATTTTTTTTCTTTGTTTTCATTTTAAAGATAAAAATAAGTAAACTAAACTATTTTATAACTATTTATATCTATATGAAACATCAATACTTAAGCTAAATTAACATTAAATTCACATGAAACTTTTAACAGATGAAAACAGATTTATAAAACATAAGTAAATCTTACAAATTACAGAAAAGACAACTTTTAAATAGAACACTGTATAAAAAACTATACACACAATATAACAGTGCATTTACTACCAATATACAACTTGAAATTTTATGACTTTAGCAGCATATTCAAGATTAGTTCAAACATATATAGTAATACTTTTCTTTATTTGCTGAGTGTCTTTTTTTATTTGTAATTTTGTTAGCCAAAAAGTTACAAGAAATATGTCAGTTTAATATTTACATAAATAACTGATTGAACTAGTAAGATATCAAAATCATTCAACAAGTGACTGGACAACACATTATTTATGAATGCAATGTAATAATTAGACTTATTCAAATGAATTGAATAGTCTCCCTTTAGTCCAACAGACCAAATGCAAAATATTGCATTGCAATTATAAAATTATCATACTAACCTCTAATGACTTATCTTTGGCCCAGATCATCTCTTTACATTGATCTACCTCTTTTCCAAGACTTTCACATAGTTTCCTCATTCTTACCAGCTAAAAAACACATACATTTCTTATTGTATATTTCTTTTTAAATGATAAATGAAATATGTTTTTGATTATTATATATATATAATAACATCTTTATTCTTATCTTTAGGGAACATAGAATACACTAAACTTTTTTTTTATTTATGATATAAAATTCTATTTTAATATTAATGAATCCTGTGAAGGAGGTATTAGGTTCAATCATGAGTTGGGTCAAATTAAAGACTTTGCTTCTCCACAAGGCACTTAGAATTCATGAGTGCGTTAACACTGTTCTGCTTTAAGTCAAAACAATGTGTCTGATCTACATGTGAGCTAACACTTGGAAACCCTGACTCGTTGTGTCAGTATTCTACAAAGCATGGTAAATTCATTATGACAGTGTTACCATGTTTTATTTGCTGCCGAACATTAATCAGAAATTTATAAATCACTTGATTTAATTGTTAATAAGTAAATATGGAGACTAAGATACTGACTTATTAAATCACTTATAGTGAGTATTGTACAGACTTACCTCATCACTCGTAGTTTCCAGTCTTCTCTTGTATTCTGACAAGGTATGCCTAAGTGACTCCAGAACAGTTGTAGGGGCAGGTAACTTGTCTGATTCTTTCTTTCCTCCTGTAATAATGTATGTAAACATTTATCAAAATAAAATATATAAGAAAATGTGTCCGAAAGGACACCATGTGCCACTTCTGTTATCACATTGGTTAAATCAACATATGAAAGATCATCCAAATATTTGTTATGCAATTGATTTAACTGCAGAACATTATGTTGAAGACTGGTTATCTAAGTCTGCAAAAAATTTAAACAAACAACAATTGGCAATATCATACATAAATACATTTTTGAAAATATTTTTAACGAAAATCATGTATGAACAAAATACTATAAAATTTCTCTAAAACAAAATACTATTTTGTAGAGATAATGGTGCAATATCAAATGGTAAAATAAGATTACTGAATATCTTACTTGATTTTTTAGGATTTTCATCAACCTGGAAATTGTGTAGCAGTAATTCTAACTCTCTCATGCTACCTCCATACGTCTCCTCTAAATATATCTGTCTTTTCTTAGCCTGTAAAAAACAGATGCATACCATTAGGAACAGTCAAATATTTATAAACTATTATACAATATACAAAAAGCACATATAGATCCAATGTCACATTTGTGTAAAAAAAAACCAATTACATATACAATGTTGATTGTTGACATTCTACAATGTACCATATACATACACCCTATCCTTACCTGGTAAGCCTTACCTGGCAATCCTTACCTGGCAAGCCTTACCTGGCAAGCCTTGCCTGGCAAGCAAATTCTCAACTTTTTGTTTTCAGGTAGACAAAATCAAATTTTAATTTGTAGTGGAGGAACATAATTTTTGGGAGAAGACTTTGTAAGTTTAATTTACTTGTGTCTTATCCCCTTTGCATATTTAAGCAAATAGAATATGTATAAACTAAGGAACATAATAAATCGTCCATTCAAATAAGTGTAAACAAACATTTTTCAAAAAGTTGTTAAAATATCACTATATAAGAGGATTACAGTGGAGAAATGTCATGTAGTATTTTATACAAAATTCCTGCTAGTTTTTACATTATTTTGTACTTTGAGTTACATTTTCTTCTGGCTCTTAAGTTTTACCTTATTAAGCTCATCTTTGAGTTCATTGAAATTCTTCTGATGGACTTCTAACTCTTTAGACAAACTACCAATCACATTCTTCTTGTTATCTACTTCATTTGTTAGCTGTTTCTTCACTGATTTGTATTCTTTTTCTGTTCTATATAACAAAATATATAACAAAAATAAGAAAAACATTAATTTGGAAAAATAGGGGAATCAATTGGAAAAAAATAATCTCCTGGTTTCAGAATTTACTGTTTGAGTCTATTTGCATTTAATATTTTTTTCTAAAACTTCTGATGAAATTAGTTGGTACATCCTACTGTATTCTAATAAGAACAAACCTTTCCAGTTTAACACCCAGTTCTTTCCCATTCTTCCTTTCCTCATCATAAGAATGTTCTAATTCTCTAATCTGTCTGGTCAGTCTGTCAATGGCTTTGTTTGCTTCATTATTTGCTGATTTCTCTACATCTAATGCACCCTCTAAATCTCTCACTCTTAACTACAAAACATAATTAACATATCTAACTAGTAATATACATATATATTAGATCTTTTGTATCAATGCCATCAGCATAAAAAAATGGTCATGTGAAAACTTTGGCCTCTTGAAAGTATTCTAGTTCATGTATTTGTTATTTATTGCAAATCAGATAGCCTCCTTAAGATCTTTCCATAAATCAGGTTAATTACAGATTAGTCTTTTTGCAAAATTTTATATACTACTAAAAGACTTTCAATGTTAGATTATATCAGTTTTGAAGGGGCATTAGCTATGCAGTTGACAAAAAAATCAAAATATGATTTTTTTTGTTTCAAACAGTTATAAAAGCAGCATTGTGAAATAATATTTGGCTAATAGTAGGCAGTTTTAGTTAAATTTTGTCAAAATAAGCTCAAAAACATTGATGATGTATTATTGGCTTGCAAGTCAATAATTCAACTCATTGGAATCCGTATTAATGCAAACTTCAATTTAACCCTTAACTGGGATGAGCTATGCATGGGCTCAGCATGTTTAGTTATTAAAAAGAAAAGAATGTCAACATTGAAAAGTGAAACAAGGCAGCCACCTGCAAGATCCCTTTCGTTGACGGACTCTGCCCACAAATATCATTCAAATAAGTAAAACGATGATTTACATATTTTATAAGTCTATGACATGATATCTAACAGATTCAGAAAAATCTTCATAATACAATTGCACCTGCTTGCCTGTTTAATTATATCTATATTTATGTTTACATCAGGTCATATGATCTACAGAATTTTTCAGAGATCATCAATGGTTAATTAGATGGCATCTATTCTAAAATACACACAAAATATTGATACATTATGACCAATGCATGCATTGTAAATTGTTTCTTTAGGACTTATAATTTGGATAGACGTTTTAGTAAGTTATAAATAAATTAAGAGATTTTGAGTCTAATCGGTGGGCATGAATTTGACAGCTAATGCCCCATTAAAGGTTCTAAAGTTCAATTATTTTGAAAAGGAAAACCATGTAAAACATTCCAGCCAACTATGGCGGCACTAATACACATAAATAACAAACAATCGATTATCTGAAAATTACATCAAATTAATAAGCACCCAAAGTTTTCCACATCCCAAGCAGTTTAAAGTATCTTGTTATGAAATTTGAGGTACTATTCAGTATTTGAGTTTAATTATACCATTTTCAAGTACCTTTAGAAAGTAAAATGCAATATGGAATATTTGAGCTAATTGTTTTCCTTTTTTATGGAAAAGTCTTATAATTTTATGACATTGTGGATTTTATGTTTATTTATATAAAGCTGTCATAAGCTTACATTCTTTCTTAATATGCTTTAACTATAACACAGGTCATTTCCCCACATAACTCAAAATAGATCTGATTGGTTTTGTAATTTGTTAACAAATGACTAATTTATAAAACAATAAAAATATAAGAATAGGTTCTGAGAACATCAATGTATCACCACTTTCTCTGGGTTTTTTTACTGCTACAAATCCATTTACATTCTTGAGTTCAACAATCAAAATTTTCTATAAAAATAAACTTATGTCCACTAACACAATTCTTGGTCAGAACATGATTTGATAAACTTATCCTAAAATATCTTTTCAAGTTGAATATCTATATTACCTGTACAATTTCAGAGTTAAATTTAGTTTCTAAATGTGATGCTCTTTCTGCTTCTATATTTTCTTCAATGCTTCTCAGTTTATGTAATGCAGCCTGCAAGAAAATATTCATAAAAAATAGCTCATAACAAAACAAAATTAATAAGACTTAATAATATTCATCCGTTTGTTCAGATCCCTCAAAGATTTAGTACTCTACTGAAGAATAAAGGTGCACTGTGTAGATTTAACTTTTTTAGATTTTGATAGTAATTTGATTTTACAATCATAAAAAAAAGCATTCCAAGCAAGTGAGTCTTTTTAAGGCAAACAAGGATAATAGTGTCATCTCTTATTCTGTTTCAACTACATTTACAATATATAATAAAGAAGAATAAGATTGGGAAAATAACTGAGCATTTTTTAACTTTTTCAATTGCAATCAAGTCCATCCAAGTTTTTTTTTATCTCTTAAGTTTAGTCTGAGTCTATTTTCACTTTTTTTGGCATACTGTATTCACATTCTCCTAACCTAAAAGTCATTAAACCAATCCTTCCTCTCATTGCATACTAAACCTCCAAGTTGTTCATGAGCATACTCTATTTCTGTCAATATTCCTCTTACCTCTAAATCTTTCTTCAGTCTATCTCCCCTCTCTTTAGCATACTCTATTTCTGTCAATATTCCTCTTACCTCTAAATCTTTCTTCAGTCTATCTTCCCTCTCTTAAGCACACTATATTTCTGTCAATATTCCTCTTACCTCTAAATCTTTCTTCAGTCTATCTTCCCTCTCTTTAGCATACTCTATTTCTGTCAATGTTCTTCTTAAATTCTCTGTCTGGTTCTTTCTTTCAACTACATTAAAATTGGCTTCTTAAGATGCAAATCAAGATATAAAACATTTACCAAAGTAATGGTTACTCAGTATATCTAATAACATGTGTAAAATAAGAAACCATTTTGGACATTAGATGATTATTCAAAAACTTATATGTGATTCTGCTGACATAATGTACGTGAGAAATTAGAATTTACTCTTTTCATATGGGTCCAATATTCCTGTCTAACTTTTTAACTGATAATTGAAAACTGAGCATGTTAAAAATAACAAGAGTGCATATGTTTTCCTGCTACGCATACCCCCCCCCCCTCCTCTTAATTCAAAGTATCCAAAACAAAAAGTCAGAATCTGACAGATCTGAAAAACCTACACATGTAACAACTCATCAAGGTTGAGCTGCTGACCAAATATGAAGTTATTTTGTACAGTATTATTGAACTATGTGACAAAAAAATGTTTTCTTCTAAGTTCATTCAACATTGAAAATTTAAAGTAGGTACCTTACAGTCTTGAAAAGTGCACATACATTCAAAATCATCACTGTCAAGCTACTGACTAAATATGAAGTCTTTCTGTTTAGTAGTTTCTGAGAAATTGCCAGAAAAATATTTTTTGGACAAAAGGGCAGAAGAAATAAACTGTTGACACAGAGATATGTCTCGCCTGTCCACATAAAATTCAGAAAAAGACAAACTGATGGACAGCAACATTGCTTATTAATTCAAGGTCGCTGGACCATGATCTTGTGGGCAGGGACAAGAAATGGTCAACAAACTGATATGTATTGATAGTAATGCAACTTTATACAATATATCCTTGATCTGTCACAAGTAGTTCTTATCAAACTGACTTTAGCAGAAAACTTAACATTGAAAATTGCTTATTAATTCAAAGTCACTGGACTATGATCTTGTGAGCAGGGCCTAGAAATGGTCGACAAACTGAGATGTATTGATAGTAATGCAACTTTATACAATATATCCTTGATCTGTCACAAGTAGTTCTTATCAAACTGACTTTAGCAGAAAACTTAACATTGAAAATTGCTTATTAATTCAAAGTCACTGGACTATGATCTTGTGAGCAGGGCCTAGAAATGGTCGACAAACTGAGATGTATTGATAGTAATGCAACTTTATACAATATATCCTTGATCTGTCACAAGTGGTTCTTATCAAACTGACTTTAGCAGAAAACTTAACATTGAAAATTGCTTATTAATTCAAAGTCACTGGACTATGATCTTGTGAGCAGGGCCTAGAAATGGTCGACAAACTGAGATGTATTGATAGTAATGCAACTTTATATAATATATCCTTGATCTGTCACAAGTAGTTCTTATCAAACTGACTTTAGCAGAAAACTTAACATTGAAAATTGCTTATTTATTCAAAGTCACTGGACTATGATCTTGTGAGCAGGGCCTAGAAATGGTCGACAAACTGAGATGTATTGATAGTAATGCAACTTTATACAATATATCCTTGATCTGTCACAAGTAGTTCTTATCAAACTGACTTTAGCAGAAAACTTAACATTGAAAATTGCTTATTTATTCAAAGTCACTGGACTATGATCTTGTGAGCAGGGCCTAGAAATGGTCGACAAACTGAGATGTATTGATAGTAATGCAACTTTATACAATATATCCTTGATCTGTCACAAGTAGTTCTTATCAAACTGACTTTAGCAGAAAACTTAACATTGAAAATTGCTTATTAATTCAAAGTCACTGGACTATGATCTTGTGAGCAGGGCCTAGAATTGGTCGACAAACTGAGATGTACTGATAGTAATGCAACTTTATACAATATATCCTTGATCTGTCACAAGTAGTTCTTATCAAACTGACTTTAGCAGAAAACTTAACATTGAAAATTGCTTATTAATTCAAAGTCACTGGACTATGATCTTGTGAGCAGGGCCTAGAAATGGTCGACAAACTGAGATGTACTGATAGTAATGCAACTTCGTATTGAATATAAATGATCTATCATTAGTATATCCTATCAAACTAATTTAAGCAGAAAACTTACAGCCGATTTCATTGAGTGTGTAGGAAAAGGTAATATCTTTGGTTAGCTTGCTTGCTAGCTGAACCATGAAGTCATTATTAGGTTAGGTAAACTACCCTCCTTTATGAGTAGACTAGTCTGACAGACAGATAGAATTGGTTACCTGTGGGACTAGTCTACTCATAAAGGAGGGTAGTTTACCTAACCTAATAATGACTTCACGGTTCAGCTACCAAGCAAGCTAACCAAAGATATTACCTTTTCCTACACACTCATTGAAATCGGCTGTAACATTGAAAATTGCTGATTACTTCAAAGTTGCTGGACCATGACCTAGGGGGCAGGGCCTGGAAATAGTCATAAAATGGATATGTACTGATAGTAATGCGACTTCATTATAGATTATCTATGGTTTTTCAAACAAGAGGGTGTTTCTCAGCTACAATCTCATCGAAGGGCAACAGCCCTGAGATGAGATGAGATGTGGCCAAGAAACATCTTCGAGTTTGAAAGACCATTGATAATCTGTTTATCGCTATTTTGCCTGTGACATTGTTAATTTCTACATTGACAACGGCACGTGCGCTCTTATTTTCTGACGATAATTTTCTATCTCAAGCGAGTAGCATGATATGAAAAATTTTCACAAAAAAAGATCAAAGGAAAAATAAACAAAATAGCGATAATACAAAATATCATCGATCTATCACAAGAAGATGCTATCAAACTAACTTAAGCAGAAAACTTAACATTGTAAATTGCTAATTAATTCAAAGTCACTGGACCTTGACTTAAGGGGCAGGGCCTCAAAATAGTTGTGAAACTGATATGTACTGATAGTAATGCAACTTCAAATTAAATATCAATGATCTATCACAAGTAGATCCTATCAAATTAACTTAAGCAGAAAAATTAACATGGAAAATTGCTAGTTAATTCAAATTTGCTGGACCATGACCTAGGGGGCAGGGCCTGGAAATAGTCGTGGAACTGAAATGTACTGATAGTAATGCAACTTATATTAAATATCAATGATCTATCAAACTAAGTTAAGCAGAAAACTTAACAATTGTTGATGCCACCAATGTTGCAGCTGTCGCCGGAAAAGCAATCCAAATGCCTCACAGGAGAGACAAAAAAACGACAGACAGACCAGATGATTGCAATATAGACCACACTTTTAGAATAGGGGGTATAAAAAAAAACAGCTAAAAGCTTGATAATTCCAAGAATATAATGTCATTCCTGATTAGTGATATACTTACTCTCCAACTCTTGAATTTTGTCACTCATATCTCCAATACCACTGAAATAATAAATTAAAAAATCTTTTTACAAATTCAAACCCCAAAAAAATATATTACATTTATGACAAGGTTAATTACACCTGTGAGCATGTGAAAGTTGCACTATTATAACAAATATATACTCTGCTAAGGTATTTTGTGACTTTCTATGTCAACTAGCTGCTTATATATGCAATATTTTTTCCCAATATCCTTTGCATAAGTCAACTTTCATTTGTATGATAAAGTTGTTTTCAGAAAATCAAATACTTGATACCGTAGTTTTTAGAAAATAAGATATTTGATACAGTAGTTTCCAGAAAATCAGACACTTAATACAGAAGTTTTCAGAAAATCAGATACTAAATAGAAAAGAATAATAAAATGACAACAAAAATATCCAATTCCCCAATATGTTCAATTAGATGACAAATGTATATTTATTTTAATTCCTCCACTAAATGAACTTGACCTAATCTTGAGATATTATTCACCCTGTTGATAGTATACTGTAGTTTAGTTAGTCACCTTCTTAAAAAGATAAGACTAAGTACCCATGCAGATTCTTATTTCCACCTCCTGTCTATCCTATCACAAGATAATGCAAAGTCTTATCATATTTCATTATTTTAATAAATACTTTATCATGCATGTTCCTATTTAACCAGTACAAGTTTTGGTATTTGAATTTTGAAATGTTTACTGTAACATTTAACAACCAACAGATTACATTAAAATTACATGGTATAAAAACAACATTATAATCATACAAACTTTTCATGTTGCTGCACCAGAGAATCTAGTTTGTCTCTTTCTGCCCTCATTATTTCTAACTCAGTTTGTAGTTTGGATACCTCATGATTCTGTGAAAAGTTCAGTATAATATTTTTTTTTAATTGTAAATGACTAAAAGATTACCACAGTAAAAATAAGGCCCTGTCTAAAAAAAAAGTGTTTTAACCTAAATTGACCCTTGGAAGTATGAACCTGGTGATCAGAAAATATTTTTGCATATTTTCTAAAATTTGGAAAACAATCTGTCTGATAATATTTTTTTTCCAATCTCTGAAGAATGAATTAAAAGAATTCATAGGGTCAGTAAGATCATTTTGGTAGTCATTCAAAACATCACTTAATGTTAATCTTTGAAGAATGAATTTAAAAAAAAAAAGGATCAGTACAACACACGATCATCTAACATTTATCTTTAGTAATAAAGAAATGTTAGGGTCAGTAGAACTATTCGGATGTCAGTCCCATGATCACACTTAAAGAAATGTTAGGGTCAGTAGAACTATTCGGATGTCAGTCCCATGATCACACTTAAAGAAATGTTAGGGTCAGTAGAACTATTTGGATGTCAGTCCCATGATCACACTTAAAGAAATGTTAGGGTCAGTAGAACTATTCGGATGTCAGTCCCATGATCACACTTAAAGAAATGTTAGGGTCAGTAGAACTATTCGGATGTCAGTCCCATGATCACACTTAAAGAAATGTTAGGGTCAGTAGAACTTTTCAGTTGTCAGTCCCATGATCACACTTAAAGAAATGTTAGGGTCAGTAGAACTATTCGGTTGTCAGTCCCATGATCACACTTAAAGAAATGTTAGGGTCAGTAGAACTATTCGGTTGTCAGTCCCATGATCACACTTAAAGAAATGTTAGGGTCAGTAGAACTATTCGGTTGTCAGTCCCATGATCACACTTAAAGAAATGTTAGGGTCAGTAGAACTATTCGGATGTCAGTCCCATGATCACACTTAAAGAAATGTTAGGGTCAGCAGAACTATTCGGATGTCAGTCCCATGATCACACTTAAAGAAATGTTAGGGTCAGTAGAACTATTCGGATGTCAGTCCCATGATCACACTTAAAGAAATGTTAGGGTCAGTAGAACTTTTTGGATGTCAGTCCCATGATCACACTTAAAGAAATGTTAGGGTCAGCAGAACTATTCGGATGTCAGTCCCATGATCACACTTAAAGAAATGTTAGGGTCAGCAGAACTATTCGGATGTCAGTCCCATGATCACACTTAAAGAAATGTTAGGGTCAGCAGAACTATTCGGATGTCAGTCCCATGATCACACTTAAAGAAATGTTAGGGTCAGTAGAACTATTCGGATGTCAGTCCCATGATCACACTTAAAGAAATGTTAGGGTCAGTAGAACTTTTTGGATGTCAGTCCCATGATCACACTTAAAGAAATGTTAGGGTCAGCAGAACTATTCGGATGTCAGTCCCATGATCACACTTAAAGAAATGTTAGGGTCAGCAGAACTATTCGGATGTCAGTCCCATGATCACACTTAAAGAAATGTTAGGGTCAGTAGAACTATTCGGATGTCAGTCCCATGATCACACTTAAAGAAATGTTAGGGTCAGTAGAACTATTCGGATGTCAGTCCCATGATCACACTTAAAGAAATGTTAGGGTCAGTAGAACTATTTGGTTGTCAGTCCCATGATCACACTTAAAGAAATGTTAGGGTCAGTAGAACTTTTCGGTTGTCAGTCCCATGATCACACTTAAAGAAATGTTAGGGTCAGTAGAACTTTTCAGTTGTCAGTCCCATGATCACACTTAAAGAAATGTTAGGGTCAGCAGAACTATTCGGATGTCAGTCCCATGATCACACTTAAAGAAATGTTAGGGTCAGCAGAACTATTTGGATGTCAGTCCCATGATCACACTTAAAGAAATGTTAGGGTCAGCAGAACTATTCGGATGTCAGTCCCATGATCACACTTAAAGAAATGTTAGGGTCAGCAGAACTATTTGGATGTCAGTCCCATGATCACACTTAAAGAAATGTTAGGGTCAGCAGAACTATTTGGATGTCAGTCCCATGATCACACTTAAAGAAATGTTAGGGTCAGCAGAACTATTTGGATGTCAGTCCCATGATCACACTTAAAGAAATGTTAGGGTCAGTAGAACTATTCGGATGTCAGTCCCATGATCACACTTAAAGAAATGTTAGGGTCAGTAGAACTATTCGGATGTCAGTCCCATGATCACACTTAAAGAAATGTTAGGGTCAGTAGAACTTTTCAGATGTCAGTCCCATGATCACACTTAAAGAAATGTTAGGGTCAGTAGAACTTTTCGGTTGTCAGTCCCATGATCACACTTAAAGAAATGTTAGGGTCAGTAGAACTATTCGGATGTCAGTCCCATGATCACACTTAAAGAAATGTTAGGGTCAGTAGAACTATTCGGATGTCAGTCCCATGATCACACTTAAAGAAATGTTAGGGTCAGCAGAACTATTCGGATGTCAGTCTCATGATCACACTTAAAGTTTATCTTTTGACAGTATGCAATATAAAAGAATTATTTGCAATAAATTGAATGGTGAATAAATATACATATAAAAAGATAAATGTAAAGTTACTATCTAAATTCTATAATTATTTGAACTATGAAAGCTAGTCATAAAACACACAGCTTTATCTTACACCTGGTCTTTAAAAATCTTATCTTGTAAAACAAATATAATATTTACCAATCAAGAAATATATCAGAGTAATAATTATATTTTGATTTTCTATTTTAAATGGTATAAAGTGTCAATGCAAGTACTGATCGATCATGTTATCATGAATTTACAAATTAACATGATAAACACTCAGGTATTCAAATAAACAAACATGGATTTAGTATAATATACAGATAAATCTTTCTGTGAGGTCTCAGTATCACCAGGAATTAGATCTAGTAATCCTTTCTAAACATTGAACATACAAAAAAAATCATTCACTTATCTACACTTTGTAGCTTTAGTTTGATACCTTTTCTTCCATCTTCCTCTGTTGTTTTCTATCTTTGTCCTCTGAAGATTGACGTGTTGACTGAAATTTGTCTTCCATTTTTGTCAGTTCTTCTGTCAGTTCAAAATTCTTTCCTTAGATAAATCAAATTTTACGTTATTCTACTTCACAAAATTTTCTTTTATAATTATGTACTCTTAAAACAATCATAAAAGTAACCAGAAAATTTTCATTATCATTTGCTGTTTAAACAATGGGCAAACTTTCAAATTATCACAATTATAAACAATTAGATAGCACATTAAAAGTATTTGTAGAAAAAAACTATTAGGAATTTTTGGCCAAATTAATTTAAACCAACATATTTCTATTTTTTTGAGGAGCAAAAACGTCAATCCTACAATTAAACAAAGTTTCTTACTTTCCAAATCTTCTCTGATGTCAGAAAAGTTAGCTATTTTTTCTGCACTGGACTGTTTATGTTGATTAACATCACGTCTTGACTTGGTTAGTTCAAACTCTAGATTCTGTCTAATAGCTTCTCCTTTCTCTAGCTGGGACCGCAGTCTAGCTACTGATCCTTCTAATTCAGATATCTGCAAATTCAGGTCAAAATTAATCTTACTAAACCTTCAATTTATGAACAAATATCAATTCACTTAAGGATGTGAAGTTTTGAGTAGAACCTAAGTTTCAACTTTGCCTAAGGAGTTCTTTAAAATCTCAGAATGCAGAATCTTTATTGTAATTTATCTCTGTATTTCAGAAATTGTGAAATTTATTAAGATACCTAAAAAAAGGTGATCGTTTTGTAAATATTTAAAAACCTTATACTACTGTTCACACATATTAATATTACCTCAGTATTTGAGCGACTTGTTGATTCAAGTCTTTCTTTTTCTACAGCATTTAAACGTCTTCTTAGCTGGGACACTGTCTCTGTTAAAACAAAATATAAAATTGGAGCAGTCTATTTTTAGAAGACATTCCAAATCTTCTCTTTTCATTCATTCAACATTTTTGTGTGATTTAACCATTATGTAAAATCTATTGTAATGTAATGATTTACTTATTATTAGTTTACAGTTCGTAACAAGTGCTACCCACAACACCAGTGAACAATGAACGAAAATTCTACTGTACACAGGGTAAAATACTATTATATAATTAGGAATGTAGGACATCATGATTTTATATCAGAAAATTAAGAACCTTTGAACTTGCATTTGTTTAGAAACTCTGAGCTGTTTTTGTATAATTTTGAGTTATATTGTTTTTCTTGCAGTTTTTGTTATCTATATATTATCATGATTATACCCTTATAAAGGAGTTAAACATGTTTCTAGTACTGAATTTTATTGTGTAACTAGTTCAACCATGCCACATGTTAATGTGCCTGTACCAAGTCAGTAACCTTGCTAACAATTGTCTTTTGTTGTATCTTAGTGTTTTTGTCATTTAGGTAACACCGTGTCTATTATATTTATTCCAACCTTTTTCAGACTTGGGCAATTTGGTCTTTTACATATTGTATAGTCACAGTTCTTTGGTTGAAGATAATATGTTGACCGCTTACTTTTTTTTAGTTGTTTTTTTTTTTCAGTCATTAGTTACTGTCTCATTGTCCCACAAATCTTTAAACAAGTTCTCTACATGTCCTAATTTCCTTAAGTATTTGTTTACTGGTCTGACTTAAACATATTGTATTTGAATAAGAACAAACATCTCATTTGTATAACAACAGTTATTGTACAATCATCTTGATCATCAGGCTAAGTTACCTTGTTCAGCTTGCAAGTCTAACTGGAACTGTTTAACTTGTATTCTTAGTTGATTGTTCTCAAGACGAAGTTTTCCATCTTCTTGTGACGGAGAAGATTTAGACAGATTCCAATCTTTGGTTGGACTACCAAACCCATAGGATATATCTCCTGGCTTCTGAAATATTTCAATTATCAGGAATTGACAAGTTTTATAGTGTACAATAATTTAGTGATCCTTTACTTTATATCATAAATCTGAAGTCTACTTAGCAGTAACATATAATTTCAAAACTTTGTTATTTCAAATAATTTTAAACATGGCAGGTCAAAAACATAATTATACATTTTTTTACTTGAAAAATGTCAGACAAAATTACAGTATAGACATTTGGTCTCTGGTGGAGAGTTGACTCATTAGCAATCATACCACATCTCATTATACTTATACTAATGATGACATGATGATATTAAACAAATGATAATTCTAAAACATGTAGATGATATTAAACAAATGATAATTCGAAAGTTATCTACATACTGTATATCCATGATACAACTGTGTTCCAAAGTCATTCTCCTCTCCACTGCCTGCAGTCCCCATTTCTGTCGGCTGGATAGGAGGGTACATTTCACTGTTAGTCTCCATGATGTTACTTCAACATTCTGGAACAAAGCCAAATTTTAAAAACTTAATATTAGTGGGAGACTTTAACATTATAAAATGGTCAATTACCTTTTGATATAGTCTAATTATTCATTTATTTTACCTGAGAATTTTATTTTCAATGTTTTGAGGTATTTTTTAAACAAGTACATCACTTTGACCTATGGTTCCTCTGAAAAACATAGTGAGCCTATTACTAATTATTTTACAATCTTAAAACAGAAATTTATTTGACAAAAACATATAACAAGGAATTATTTGAATCTAGAATAATTTTGAATTCTGGAACATTGATAAGATTAAGAAATGTATGATGAAAACTACCTGAATTATTCACTGATATTTCAGATTGTTTTAGTCATCTGATTGGGTAAGTTTTCATCAAAAATTTCTTACCAATTTTCTAGAATTCAAAATTATTCCAGATTCAAATAACTCCTTGTTATATGTTTTTGCCAGATGAATTTCTGTTAAAGATATCACATATTTTGTTTAAGAAAATAAAACCAACATTGACCAGGATAATAAATGTTTTCCTGCTGATGAAATTACTTCAGATCTCATTTTGACCAAAAATGCAAGAGTCCCCTTCAAAATATCACTGAGTCACCATTCTCTTTGGAAGGGAAGTTCAAATTTTATAGACCTTTTGGCACAAATCAAAGTAATGAGGAGGCACTCATAGCCAAAAGAGTTTGGAAGACACCCCCTTCCCCCAATTCAAAAATTACTATTAAAGTCAAGATTCAGATTGAAGTTAGTGTCCGAGTGTCATGACCCCAAATAACCCCCTACAGACACATCCTGACTACAAGCCATTGGGTGTTAGGTGTGATTTCTAATTTTACCCTTTATACCAAAGCAGGGTACCTCAACTGGTCTGAGTATATGTCAAATGTAGGATTATATGTGAATTGAGATATAAAGCATTAATTAGGGGTATGGTCGAATCACTCCCTTAACATGTAAGCACCCTACACATTGCAACCCACATTTTTGCCCCTTTTTTTCAATCAACATATTTATATTTTCATAAATAAAAATTCACAAATTTTTGGAATAAATATTTTTTGTTTGTGATTAGTTTATTATTATTAATTGTTAAATATTTATGATAACTGTTACTTGGTATTTACAAAGATAATTTGGTATTATTGTTATGTGTTTAAAAGTCATGATTATTGTTATAACTAGTTTTGGTGTACAGTAAAATACATGAAGTAAGCTTGGTATGAGTAAAAACAATGAAGATTTTAAAAGCATGATACATACAAATGTATATATGTTGGTACTTTCAAGCTTCTTTAACAAGAGGCTCTCAAGAGCCTGAATCGCTCACCTGTATTTCAGAGGAGAAGATTTTTAAATGTTAGCAAACTTGATGAACAAATTGTGTAAAATTGTCTTTAAAGGGCAATAACTCCTTAAGGGGTCAATTGACAATTATGGACATATTAACTTTTTTGTAGATCTTACTTTGCTGAACATTATTGCTGCTTACAGTTTATATAAATATATCTATAATAATATTCAAAATAATAACAAAAAAACCAAAATTTTGTTAAAACTACCAATTCGGTGGCAGCAACCCGACAATGGGTTGTTCGATTCGTCTGAAAATTTCTAGGGCTGATAGATCTTGACCAATTAAACAATTTTACCCTGTCACATTTGCTCTAAAAGATTTAGTTATTGAGATAAAAGCCAAAAACTGCATTTGACCCTTATGTTCTATTTTCAGCCATGGCGGCCATGTTTGTCGATGGATACAAACTTCCGATACAATTTAGTTAAAAGTTTGAAGGTAATTGGCCCAGAAGTTTCAGAGGAGAAGATTTTTAAATGTTAGCAAACTTGATGAACAAATTGTGTAAAATTGTCTTTAAAGGGCAATAACTCCTTAAGGGGTCAATTGAAAATTATGTTCATATTAACTTTTTTGTAGATCTTACTTTGCTGAACATTATTGCTGCTTACAGTTTATATATATCTATAATAATATTCAAAATAATAACAAAAAACTGCAAAATTTTGTTAAAACTACCAATTCGGTGGCAGCAACCCAACAATGGGTTGTTCGATTCGTCTGAAAATTTCAGAGCTGATAGATCTTGACCAATTGAACAATTTTACCCCATGTCAGATTTGCTCTAAAAGCTTTAGTTTTTGAGATATAAGCCAAAAACTGCATTTGACCCCTATGTTCTATTTTTAGCCATAGCGGCCATGTTTGTCGATGGATCAAAACTTCGGATACAATTTATAAACTAGATACCCTAAGGAACATTTATTTAAATTTTGAAGGTATTTGGCCTAGTAGTTTCAGAGGAGAAGATTTTTGAAATAGTTTACGATGACAGACGACGACGACAGACGACGGACGCCAAGTGATGGCATAAGCTCACATGGGGCCCTTCGGGCCCTGGTGAGCTAAAAATGGAATAAATGCTCTGTAGGAATTTATACCTGAAATATACCACCTAATAAACATGTGCCTTGTAGCCTGGTTTTTGTGGTATTCATTGTTGCTGGGGCAATGTCATTGTGACAAGTTTAAATCCCTGTTTCCATTCTTAATTCTATTGATAGCCCCTTGTTATCTTTCGTCTTTCTTTAACATGTCAAGTACCACAAGAAATTGCCACGGTGTACCACAAGAGGAAAAAATAGTACAGAGAGACAAGTTGTGTCAATTTTTACCTTAGAATCAGGATCAGGATATATGAATGAACTTGGCCTTTGATGATCATGACAATAATTGGTATCACGTTCTCACCCTACTTGTTTGTACCCTATTTTTATATTCAAATCTGGTTGAATTATTTGATGTTTTTTAGATGTATATCAAAATATTTATATTTTCATGAATTGGTGAATTTTTAAACATGTTAAAATGAAACATTTTTTTTAATGATTGGATATTTTGAATACTTTTTGGAATGTATGATATCGTAATGAATAAAAATAAATCAAATATATAATTTGAGTTCTTCTTTACCTTCATAGTGTACCTTCAAGCTTATTTACATATGGAAATACATGCTCTATATCGTTAATGATAGCTGTAATACAACACCAAATAAGTACATATGTGTATATGTTGGTACCTTCAATCTTCTTTGCACATGGAAATAAATTCTCTGTAAGTACTTATAGCCGACATGCAACACCTTGAACACCTTAAACAATGTTAAAAAACACAAGTGATTTGTGGCCCGGTGGCAAAATCATCGTGACGCGTTTGATAGCTGTTTGGTATATTCCGCCTTTCTTTTACAAGTCTTAGGTGAATGAACTTTGATGAATGAACTTTTACTGTTGAGTCTGTTTTTTGTGATATACATTTGACGTGACTCTGTACTTATGTATATCGTCATACTTTGTACCACACAATTATTTTATTTTATTTATTAATATTGCTTTTACTGTTGTCTGTTTTTTGTTATATCCATTTTACGTGACTCTGTATTTATGTATCCCCTCATACTTTGAACAACAAAATTATTTTATGTCTACCTGTGCAAATTTCAAACGCGCGATTTTATGCCAGTACTTAAAACCTTCCATCCTTTATGGGTGGATTTAACATAGATAAATAAAATCGTATAATATAAGCAAAATGAGGATTTTAAATTTGATGTATGCCTTTTAGTGCTTCGTTACATTTGTTTGTTTTTATAGTGATTAAGATGATAACACAATGTTGACTGCTGTACCCCTATTTTTAACATTTTTACCTATTATGTCTGTTTGTTTTGTTCACGCATCGTTGTCAATATAATGGAATTTGATGCGACAGTCATACAAGTGAGAGGTTTAGCTAGCTATAAAACCAGGTTCAATCCACCATTTTCTACATAAGAAAATGCCTGTACCAAGTCAGGAATATGACAGTTGTTATCCATTCGTTTGATGTGTTTGTTTTTTTGATTTTGCCATTTGATTGGGGACTTTCCTTTTTGAATTTTCCTCGGAGTTCAGTATTTTTGTGATTTTACTTTTTGCCATGATCTTCATGACAATTTTTTATTTATTCTTCGTTTCGTCAAAATAATTAATAAGACTCTAAAGGAAACATGTTTTTGTTTTAAGAACGTCTCTTTGTTTTGAAACAATAAAAAAACTTATTTCTAGCAACACACTACTGTAAATTCAGAAATTATTGCGAGGTTTTTATTATTGCGAATAATGCGACTGGGTGAGTATCGCAATAATAAGAACTCGCATTTTGATAACAGAAACATAGATCTCTATGCATATTTTTTTGTAATCGTAATAATTAAACTCGCAATTTTGTCCATTCGTGAAAAATCGCAATAATAAATGCACGCAATAAATTCTGAATTTACAGTAACTAAAACACATTTAAAAAATCATTCAACACAAAACCAATAAAAAGGGGGCGAACGTGAATGGGAGAGAACGTGATTTTGGGCGAATGGACCTGGATTAACAATAATCATTATTCATTTTGTCAAAACATTTTACGCAACCCTAAAGGAAACCTGTTTAGGTATTTAGAATTTCACTTTATTTTAAAACAATAAAATAGCCTTATTATCTTTATTTCATATAAATAATACACTTAATAAAACATGATTAAAAAATTATTCAACACCTTTAAAAATTAAAGTCAATAAAGAGGGTGCGAACGTGTGGGGTGCAAAAATGAAAGGTAGAAAATTTTTGGCAACCCACATTCCATTAATGATGATGTCTCTAACAAAGTCAACCCTTGCTGTCTTTTTTATCAGAGAAATATGTGCAGCAATTTAAAATACTGAATGTATTGTCAGTATTGCAGAAAGCATGATGTGCTTTATACAAGGCAAGGACTGTGCTGTGATAGAAATGACTTCCAATATTTTATGGCAGTTTGCACCATTTCATTCAGTCAGTGCATCATTGAACATATACCTTCTTCAGATTAATTTACATAGGTTCCTAAGTTATAACACCATAATTTCCCTGCTCCTATTCAGCAAACGACAAAATTTGAAAAACTGTGCAAGTCCAAACTAGTCAAAGATAAATATTTGATAAACATGAAACTGATTTAATGATTTGTGCAAGCATTTATCAGTGAAAAGTTCTAAATTCAAAATTATTGACGAGTTGTCTCATTAGCTTTTCTTACTATGAGTTAGTTGCTGAGGTCGAAAAAGTGTAAAGTCAATTTTTTCCAAGTTTGTTTAGACCGCCATTGAAGTTGTTGATACTTCCGGTTGTTCTGATCTTTTCAAATATCCGATTTGATTGGTCAATAGTTAAGGTAAGGGCTATTGTCAAAGTATTTATGTATCGCTTATAATAGTTTTTTCTTTGTTCACAGCAAGGATTTGTATAGTGAGTCCAGAGACATATAATACAAATTATATTAATTGTATTATACGTCTCTGGTGAGTCTCACTATACAAATCCTTGTTCACAGTCATTTTTAAAATAGTAGAAATAATTCACCATTTAAACAGAGACTTTAAGAAAGATGGGGGTCTAAACAAAATCAATAAAAAGCATCTGGAACTATTATATATTATGTTTGGTAAAAATCTAGACTACGACACAGACAGAGGTCTTTTATTGTATATAGACAAACAATTGGACGCATCACAGGTCCAAATGAATTCAGAATTCTAAGAAAACTTATTTATAAAGATTAAATTAAATCAGTCAGACCAACTATTATTAGGTTTAATATATAGATCACCATCAAACAGAACACATGATTACATTAAACAACTAAATTCGCTTACTACTGAAGCTTGTAGTAAAGGCTATTCACATATCCTTATAATGGGAGACTATAATTTACCAGAAATAAATTGGGACAGTTGGAATTCACCGGGTGATAGTACTGAAAGTAACGAGTAAATTTTTTTAGAGAATCTACAAGAACATTTCTTATTTCAACATGTCACAAAACCAACCGTAGATGGAGAGGTACTAATGTAACAGCCACTATGTTCCGTCAGTTACTTTGTTCCGGCGGAACTTTTCAACTAGTTATTTCGTTCCGATGGAACTTTCCAACTAGTTGTTTTATTCCGAGTGCAGTCGAAAAGTTCCGGAAAAAAGTAGCTAGTTGAAAAGTCCCGGAACAATGTAGCTAGTTGAATAGTTCTGGCGGCACAGAACAACTAGTTACTTCGTTCCGAATATACCATATTTCGTCCTTTTTGTAGAAAGAGGGGGAAGAATGAGTATCAGTATATATAAGAGCAAATCATTAATTTACATGAATACCCAACGCCCTTAAAGGGGTTTCTTTGGGGATAAATATGCAAAATTTAAGTTGTATTTCATAGCTCACATAAAACGGAATAAGTTGCATTATCATGCAAATTTAGTATTCATAGTACCCTCAAGAGAGGGAAGAATACCCCCCTCCTCATGTGGTTCTTTGCATCAATTCTCCAAATGGAACTTTGTGACTGGTTGATAAGTTCCGTTGGAACTTTTGGGCTAGTTTGTTAGTTCCGGTTTTGACTTATTTGCCAAAGAGGAACTTTGTGGCTAGTTGATAAGTTCCATTTGACTTTTGTAATCAGTATCTTGGTTTCCCTTTAAAAGGTTCAAATATAATATGTTGCGCTTTTACTTTGCATCAATTCTCCAAATGGAACTTTCTGCCTGGTTGATAAGTTCCGTTGGAACTTTTGGGCTAGTTTGTTAGTTCCGGTTTTGACTAATTTGGCAAAAAGGAACTTTCTAACTAGTTGATATGTTCCGTTGGAACTTTTCAACTAGTCACTTTGTTCCGGTGGAACTTTTAAACCAGAGGAAGAACAAAGTAACTAGTTAATAAGTTCCTCCGGAACTTTTCGGCTAGTTAGTTCTTTCCGCCCGGAACTTTCCAACGTCGGAACAAAAGAGCATTTACACTAACACACCGCATACCCTCGACCTGATTTTGAAAAATGAAGAACAAATGATCTCAAATCTAGAATACCAAAGTCCACTTGGCGGCCACTGCACCATGAAATTTGACTTTAACTGCTATACAAATATTAAAAGTAAGCCAAAAATAATTAAATTATTCAGTCGGGGTAACTACAAAAAAAATAAAAGAAGAATTAGACAAACTGATAAACTGGATGGAATTACTACAAGCAGATAACGATATAGATAAAAACTGGAGGTCACTTCTAAATATAATTCAAGATATGGACAAAAAGTATATCCCAACGAAAGAAAGGAAGCAAATCGGTAGAGGAAAAAACAACTTCCCAATTGATAAAAACACAATAGACAAAATTAAAAGGAAAAATATCCTCTCAAAAAAGATAACACACAATAATGACCCAGAGGTGAGAAAAGAATACAACAAGATAAGGAATCAAGTGAAAAGCCGAGTAAACAAATTGAAGAGGGAATATGAAAAAAAAAATCTTTCAGAAAAAGCTTAAGAAAACCCTAAAGCTATCTGGAGCTATATCAAATCAAAAACAAAAACCAAAGAAGGAATTGGGGATTTACACATTGACACAGAAGATACAAAATCAGATAAAACTGAGGATAACAGTACGAAGGCAAAGATATTGGTAGACTATTTTTCCAGCGTATTCACCAAAGAAATAGACAGACAAGTACCATTACCAAACCAGGTACCAGTAATAAATAAAATGTCAAAACAGAAAAATAAAGGAGGATGTAGTGCTGAAACACTTATCTTCATTAAAAATAGATAAATCACCAGGTATGGACAAACTACACACTAGATTACTAAAAGAGATAGCTGAGTCAATAGCAAAACCTTTATGCATTATCTTCAATCAGTCACTTGATAGTAAGTCAGTCCCTACTGACTGGAAGAATGCATTGATACGTGCAATATTCAAAAAGGGAAACAAATCATTAGCCAAAAATTATAGACCCGTAAGTTTGACATCGGTTGTGTGTAAAATAATGGAAAAAATATTGCGGGAATTTATAATAGAGCACATGAGAACAAACAACCTATTCTCTAAAAAACAATACGGCTTCATTGCAGGGAGGTCAACTGGACTACAATTATTAGAAGTGATTGATAAGTGGTCAGAGGCACCAGATCAAGGTTTAGACATAGACTGCATATATACTGACTTTTTGAAAGCTTTTGATAAGGTACCTCATAAAAGATTGATTGCCAAAATAAAGAATCTTGGTATTGAGGAGGATATAGTAGGGTGGATCACAAGCTTTTTAGAAGACAGATAACAAAAAGTTATGGTGAATGGTGAAGAATCAGACTGGGCGAATGTTACATCAGGGATACCCCAAGGATCAGTAGACCGTTGTTATTTGTACTGTACATTAACGATCTTCCAAAGTGGATTCTAATGCCTATCTTTTTGCTGCTGACACCTAGATCTTCAGAGTAATAAAGAATCAGAATGACAGAGAAACTCTACAAGAAGACCTATACCAGATGGAAGCATGGAGTGACAAGTGTCTGCTCAAATTTCACCCTGAAAAATGTAGATACATGAAAATATGTAAGAAATCAAAAAGCACTGACCACTCAACAAATTACAGTCTACTAAATCATTCAATAGCAAAGGTTAAAGAAGAAAAAGATATAGGAGTCTTAATTGACTCAGAAATCACTTTTGAAAATCACATAAGCGAAAAAGTGCCAACTCCATATTTGCAGTTCTCAGAAGAACTTTTAAATACTTGGGTACTGGGACATTCGTACCATTGTACAAAACCATGGTCAGAACACATTTGGACTATGCTGGTTCAGTTTGGTCTCCATACAAGAAAAAAGATATTGACAAAATAGAAGGAGTCCAAAAGAAGGGTAACAAAACAACTACCAGGTCTCAAAGACATGAGCTACCCAGAGAGACTTAAAACACTATCATAAAGGAGAATACGAGGGGATATGATTGAAACCTTCAAAACTATCAATGGCTACTATGATAAGGAAGTATGCCTTTTTTTAAAAATGGCAGATGATTCACAACATAGAACCAGTAGCAGGACAAATAGTAACAAAGTCATCCATCAAAGATTCCAATCTAATATCCGAAAACACTCATTCTCTGTTAGAATTGCTAAAACCTGGAACAAACTACCAGATAAAATCACTAAGGCCCCATCCATAAACGCATTTAAAAACCGATTAGATAAATATTGGTCTGACGAAGAGCTCTATTATAATGACTATAGAGCAGAAATATCCGGAAGTCACGGACAAAACAGTAATAGAAAAAAATTTAAATTATGAGTCTGGTGAAGAGGAACCTTAGGGATCCTGTACTGGAAATCAACTATAAGTAATAGTATGTCCCAGTTGAAATAAATAATGTAAAAATACATGTATCGCAAATTTAATTACTTGTCAAAAGCTGTATTATATAGATCATCTACCTTTGGCGTCCGTCTGTCCCCGATATACACACCGAAATAGGTTGTATCTCTAATTGTTAAAGTTGTTCTTGACCTATAGTTATAATTGACATTTCTTCATGGATCTAAACTGTTTCAAGTTTGTTAGTTCATTACAGATCGTAACCTACTAATATCTTATATGTTTATGTCTATTTCACAGCTATCAGTATTTCTTTATCTCTGAAAAATACCTCTAGATATGTATACATTTAGTTAAGTACCATGTAGTATATATTTAAATTCTTTAGAGAAAAGCGCATATACTCAACTTTCAGAATCGTCAGCCTTTTGCCGTCAAATTGTGTGCATTTTTTTTTAACTATGATAAAAAAAAACTGATAAAGATTCATGGTTTGTTTTAAACTCTATGCTCACATCTGAATGCGTCAGGTATCTTTTAAATATAGTACTTGTTATATTTGTGTTTGTATGTATATATACGTACATTTTTTTTCAATCAGGCTTTATTTTGTATATGATAAAAACAAGGTGTAGATTATGCATGTAGGTATGGGTAAATATCAAAGAGAGTTTCACTTGTGAATTTCTACTTGGAGCACTCAGTAGTGGTGCTGCAGGCTATTGGTTCGGGTAATTTGTTCCAATCTTTTATAGTTTGGCAAAAGAAAGAAAATTTGTAACTGTCTTTGTTGCATCGAATTTGTTTGTGATTATACCTGGTGTTTGCTTTTCTTTTATAAGAATGTCATCATATGTTATATCAATTTTGTTGTTGGTGATTCCATGGAACGTGTTTAATCTACTTTAAGTATTATTTCTTGTATTGATGGCCAGTGAAGTGTGTTTAGTAAGTTTGTGACACTTTCTATATAATTATGAGTATTTGGAACATAAACATCTTGCTGCACGTTTTGAACTTTTTCTTTGGAGTTGATGTTCTCTGTGTATATATGTATCTGGTTATATAATGGTCCCACACGGTGCAACAGTTATCAAGTTTTGGTCTGATAAGAGCTTGGTATGCCCGGTCTTTACTGATAGTCAATGAGACTAATTGTCAGATTTTGTAAGGATTGTACATGGAACGAAAACTTTTGTGTTAATATAAGGAAAACATTAAAATGGAATTTTAAAATAAAATATAAGTGGATAGCTCTGAATTATAAAAGTCTTTTAGAAAAAGAAAAAGAAAAATCGTGGTCACCAGGCGTACTCGTTTTCTTTCTACAAAAAAAAACCATGAAAATTTCCTACACATTCCATTAATAGGAGACAGGTGCTACCAGATGAGCTCCGGGAGGTTATTGGCGCATGTTAGTTTTAATGATCCACACACTTTTGATAACCAGACATACAATTTTGTGGGAGATCCGGTATGCTCCTTTGATACAAATATACAGGAAATTGCTCTCTGCTCGGTCCACAGAGGAGGTTGGGCCAGGATCTCAGGCAACTACGTGATGTTTTACGACGGGGAACCCAAAAACAAATCCTTGCCGAAAAGGAAGTAAAAACTGGAATTGGTTTTACGACCGCCATATTGTTAAAGGTCGTACAGTGGGTAAGTGGCCGTAGTATGACCAAAATAGGCACTTCTACCATTGATATAGCCTGGGGTCCTTGCTCACTGACTCGACGCTAAGAAGAGGTTGGGCCAGAATTCAATTCTACTATTTATGCTCACTTCAAGTTATCTACCCTTATATTGGTCACTTAATTTTTTTTAAATCAAATACAAATTTTCTATATGAGTTAAAAAAAAGTCGAAATGATAATATAACTTCACACAGTTGTCTTCATTTATAGGAAAACAATTCTCTCTACATTTCTCATACATTTAACATTGGCACCTGTTTTCTTAAAAAAAAAACACGAAAAATAACAAGGATTTTATTACATTTTTAAAAACAGCGTTTTAAACTATAGTGTAATAAAACCATGAAAAGAAAAGTAGGGGTTAACGGGCAAAATTGTGAAAGGCACTACATGGGTATAAAACGAGAGAATTCCGAATATCTGATAAAAAGTAAAAAAAAACAAGATCCGGCTCAAATGTCAGCACCTGTAATCAGGGTAAAATGATTAGTGAAAATATTTTATTATCTTGAAGAAATTTTCTAACTATTTTATAGACAGATACACAGAGGACAGATCCCTGGCAAATCCTTTTGACTATAAATTAATTAATATGTGCCCGTAAAATGTATATATACCTAAATTCTGGAAGATTTAACAAAGACAAATTTCGTGAAAAGGTCAAATGTAAGGATTCGAGCCTTGCTATTAATTTTTATAATTGCTAAAAAAATATTTCCATCAATATTTGAATTGGACGTTTCAGTTCTCGGCTCTTTGCTTTTGGTGTATATTCTAGGTTACATGCAGTGTCCAAGCTTTGCTTACAAGGATCTAATAACGCTCCATTTTACTTTCTGTTTTAAAGACCTTTTGGATTCCTTTGATTTTGTCGGATTAATACACACCTTCAAAATTTTTGAAGGCTGAAATTTCATTGGGTGATGTTACCAAAACAGAATATAGAATGGAGTGTTGTCAGGTCCGTGTAAGCAAAGCTTGGACACAGGATCTGTACTTTAATCAAATTGAAACAAAATTTACCAAAATTATCGATTAAGCTTGGAAAAGAAAGAGAAACGTAAAAAAGTTAATGAAATCTCTATAATACACGACAACCTTTGGGTTATAACATAGAATAGTCTCAGACAATCTTAAACATGAATTATTTGAGATATATATATATATCTAATTAACTGCTGTGTTCGGTCCCTGTCAATGCTTATTCGAAAGTAAAGTATAGTACTTGCGTTTTACCAAAGTCGCGTATCTGTACATCAAAATTTAAATTGTATTGTACTTAAAAAAAACGACAATTCGTCTAAAATCAAAACATTTAAAAGGAATTATTTGAGCATCAATAATTATAATAAATGATGTGTCCGTGTGTCAAATGAATTGAACGTCAACTGGAATTTTTGCTCAAGAACCTTACCAGGTGGAGAATCGGCAAATAGATCGAATGTCTTCCGCCATCTTGGATTGTAAATTAGCAGAACACAATCGGTCAAGATCTTTATAAATATACAAGTGTTGAGAGAGGTATATATATTTATTATGTCATTCATTTGTAATACTTTTCATCTAAATGAAGAAAATTATGCGTTTATCCCATTATCACGATTGTTTTTTTAATACAAACATTAGTCATTTTTTGTATGCCAATGATTCAATTGTTATCAACTTTGCTATACAAAGAGGAATAATTCAGAAAACCTTACTTTTATAAAGGAATATGTAGGGAATTTGTCTATTTTGTTGTTAGGTGGCAAGAACGCAAGTATCGTGATCCCAATTTTTCTTTTAATTTAATGAAAGCACATTATAAAAATTATCTCCGCATATTTTATCTTAATATTCTATCATCGTAATGATTTCTTTCTATAACACAAAATTGGGGGTTCCGTGTATAATTACAAAATCTGACAATTTTGCACATCCTGTACTGTAGCTTGAAAATAAGATCCTGGTGTCCCGTACCTTTTATTAATATTTTTGAAAAAAGCATGATATTAATAAAATTGAGAATGGGGGGGGGGGGGGGGTAAAAGAGACAACAACCCGACCAAAGAGCAGAAAACAGCAAAAGGCCACCCTGAATGGGTCTTCAACACAGCGAGAAAATCCCGCACCCGGAGGCAGGCTTCAGCTGGCCCCTAAACAAAGATGTGTACTAGTTCAGTGAAAATGGACGTCACACTAAACTCCGAAATATATAAATGAACTAAAATAAAAAAAAAACATACAAGACTAACAAAGGCAAGAGGCCCCTGACTTGGGACAGGTGCAACTTCGTGTTGGCAAATTATATAAGACAATCTACAGATTTTAAATTAGACCTAAAATTTGATCTTGTAATCTTGAATTGATGTATTTTAATGAGACGGGACATTATGATAAAAGTTAATTTGACAAAGGTTGGCAAATTGGCCACTGAAGAGATAATTGTACATAATATTCTTTTACTTTTCTGAGGGGTCCATATTCTTTAGGGCTATGGTTCATTTATAGATATTGTTAGGTTTGGGGATCTTTTACGTTAGGGTTAGGTATGGACATAGGATTATTATATGTCTCTGTTCAGTATATGGGATAAGGTAAGGTTAAGGTTTAGGGTTGTGTATAGTCTAATATACATATAGCTCTATGTGGGGTTTTGATCATTAAAGTCAAAGAAGGTTGTGAAAATTAATTTGGTAGCAAGAAAAATATTGATCAGGCGAAACTGCACTTTTAAGGTTAGACCTGTTATTTCTTTACCCGAATAATGTCAGTCGTGATCTCCGACTAATCTCCGATTGCTGCATTAATAGGCTATAGGATAGGCCGGCCCGCTAGAGACGGCGCCGAAAGTATTCGAGATAGTTAGTTCGTAACAGTAGCCACATCCTCTTATACCGTCACCTGTTTAAGTATTATATATTTGTGTAAACTTCCGGTTTTCCCAGACAAATTCACAATTTGGATAGAGTGAGCTTGAATTTGTAGATAATTTGTATGGACAATGCATTTAGTTACTCACAGTATCATATAAAAGCGATGCAAGGTATCTTGTGATGTCTGATGAGGGGATGTGGGATATACGGGTAAAAAAATGGGGATGTGATAAAGGTGGATAAAAAGAGGGGGAAAAATAACAAACATATAACAGAAAAGCAGAATGTGAGAAATAAGCACCCCTCGTCATCTGTTTTTTTTTTTGTATCACATAAAAGTATTTGCATAATCCATCCATAAAACCTTATATATATATATATATATGTTTATTCAAGATAAAAGGCATTTATTTGACAGATACAATATATTACAATGACACAGATATAGCACTACTGCCACTAGACATAGTTTATAGACACTAAAATGAGTTACATGTTTACTAAAAATTTGATTTAAAAAAAATAAAATTATGAAAATTGTCATGATATTTTGATAATATGAATAGACTAGATTAAATAATGAGTGAAATTTAAATTGACTAGATTTTCACTGTAGCCTAATACATTTGTACCTTAGGATGACCCACAAAAGTTATTAAAACTTATTTCCAGTGGAGTCCTTTTATGACAAGACTTCCAGTTCACACCAAAGGTTGACACATAGAAATACAAAACACAAATCATTTAGAATTTATCACAGATAAATGGTCAAAGCCCCAGTATAATTAACAATGATTAATAAAAAGCAAATTCACTATTACAGATGGATTTAAATTTATCCATCAAAAACTTTTTCACTTGTGTGTACTTTAAAATTATATTTTTTAGAGCAACTTTTAATCATGTCTGGTAATGAATTCCAGTCTGTTATCCCATTATAAACGAAACTCCAAGTGGTGGATTCACACCCTTTAATTCCTGGTATATAAAAGTTTTTACTACTAGATCTTGTATTGAAAGATGTTTCATTTCTAACAAAATTAGTATGTAAATACTTTGGGCATATATTGTTAAAAATGTTGAAAACATGATCAAGTCTTAGTAGTTTGACTCTATTACTAATATTTAAAAAGCCCAATTTCTTAAATTCAATATATGTCGCACTCTTTCTGGGATGTAATTGCAAATAAATCTCACAATCTTATTTTGTGCCACTTGAAGTTTATTCTTCATTTGTTTTGATATACCTTCATACCAGCATGCACATGCATAGTCAAAATGACATTGAATCAGAGAAGAGCACAATGTTTTCCTACATGTAGATTGAAAATTTAGACACTCTCTGTTTCTATATAAAAATTTAAGCCTTTGATTGACTTTTTTCACTATAGAGTTGACAATAAAATCACCAGTTAGAAACTGATCAATTATTATTCCCAAATATTTTACAAAAGTTTAGGATTCAATATTAATACTATTACAGGAGATAGCAAAATCACCGGGTATTAAAGACCGAAGTTTTCGACCAGGACCAAAAATAATAATCTCCGTCTTTCCCAAATGTAGGGACAATTTATTGTCAGTTAACCAATCATGGCATATCCATGATTCCAGCATTCTGGATAATTTATGTGAGATGACTCCAGGGTCTATATGGGAAAATAAAATTACCTTACTCCTATGAGATCGACAGTCAGTTCAAACACTTTCATAGTTGACAGCAAAGTTTGTCTACTTGTGTAGATAGTTTTTAGGCAAGATCCTCATAAATGGAATCCCGGTCATTTCACCCACATTGCCACAATCACCTTCGCCAACACACCTGTTTACTCAGAGTCTGTTGGCCCTGCTCTTTGCTTCAACTGTTTTCACAGTTCTGTTGTATTATCATAATACAATATGAATCCTCAATACTAAGCATCATAAGTGTTGAAATAACAAAAAAACACATTTGGAAAGGGTCAAAATTAAAGCCCCAGATAATACCTTTTTGTATTTCAGTCCAGGTGTCGTTTTTGGCAAAATGTTGCCTATTACATGACAGTAACATAAATGTTTGCACCATCATTGCCATGATAGCAAATATCAAATCCAAGGACTTTTTATCACTGTAAATTGATACCCAATTTGGGGATAATACCCAATGATGAGGATCTTTCCCAACCTGAAGTTAAATATATTAAACCCCACCTACATGACCTAAAAGTAGAATAATAACCAAAAGATAAAAAATACATAGCTGCCACATTGATTTCTCATTCTTTTGCATGAATTATGTGACTTAAACCATTACATGTGATTGCATAATGATACCTTGTTAACACTACTCATTTGAGTCTAAAAGCTTTCATAGTCAGTGAGATTTTCAATCATACATCATGTACATTAGAAAGAAGCTCTGATATATATTCTTTGTTTCTTTGTGAACATAAACCAAATTTTTACAAGTCTTTAAAAAAAATTCCCAAAATGATCATATAATTTCCATAAAGATGGCATCAATTAGAGAGATAATTAAAATATGGTAGCTCTAACTGTAATGAAAATGTTATATGTGTTGCAATTGTAATTCATTGTTCCCTTAATTCTATTACAACTTGTATTCAACACTACAGCATACATGTAGCAATCTGATTAGTTTTGACCAAATTAAGTTCTATGGTTAACATATCCTTAAAAGAGTCTGCCACTATGGTATATTTGTCTTGAAGACAGCTACTCCACAACACAAAAAGAAAAAAAAGAACAATATTAGGTGCTGATTCAGGTAGGAGCACACCCTATGCATGCCCCTCTAAAAAAGAAATAAAAATTTAATATATAGGTAAATTTACAGTCAATTTTGCATCCAAATAAGGTCTTCTAATTCCTAATTCCCGGGAGTGTTCCATGACATTAAATCCTTGATCTGTGCCTGAATTAGAGGTCAACATATGTTTTAAACTAATTTTAGACATCTCAACCATCACCAACTTGACATTCCACCATGGCTATCTATTGTTTACACTTCATGCACTATGATTAGGTTTTACAACCCTTATAATCGTGATACATTTAATTACATCCTAATCATAAAATTTTGAAAACTAATGTCTTTTTGATACATGTATGTCTCAAGTGACTCATTCCAAACAAAAAGCAGAAGAAGTTTGTATTTATTACTACTTTATTTACTCTGATAGTAATATTATAAGTTTATTGGTATCTACAGTTAATTGATGGTAAGTAAATAATTGTTGTAACATCTTTATTGATAAGCATGCTCATGATTCTACCTGTAAAAGTGTCACAGTGATCAGTTCAGTGATTTTGGAGAGAGCTTAATCTTGTCTAGATTTGATCTCTGTCTGATATTAAAAAGTGAAAAAACCTTATGTTGGATTTGAAAAATGAAAACCTGTTTTCTGTTATAATACCCTCCTACAGTTTTAACAGAGAGCCCTCAAATTTTCCAGAATATTTGTATGTTCATCAAAGATATACATATGACTTTTAGATAATTTTTGCATATTATTCAGATTGTGAAACTTAGTCAATTTTCTTGTACTGTAACTTTTTTTTAGCATTCAAAGAGATGGTCTCTAAAAGCAGTAAAAAAATAAGAAACTTTTCAATCAAGTCTAATCTAAGATTGTTTTAGATATGCATTTGTAAAGAAGTGACTACATCATGTATAGATATGCTGCTTGTGTGATCAAGTCATTATATTGACTGACTCACAGTATAAACCATGCTTAGATTACATTTATGCCTAATTTGTGATGTAGACTTCTTTTGTTAGTATATTATCTTCATTCTTCTTTCATTCTTTAACTTCATTACCATGTTCCTGTTCACATTTTAATGTTATTTTTACTCCATGTTGTAATTTTTCAAAGAATTCTGTTGTTGTCCTTTTATTTTATACTTTCTAGTTTAGCAAAACTGTAGTTGCTGTGTGGCAGCCTAATTTTTTTGTGTTGTTCAGTTGCTGTCTCATAAATGTATAATCCACACTGTCTTTTACAAATATGTATATCTACAGAACAGCAGTAAACTAAGGGGAGATAAACATTAAAAAAAATCATCTAAGTAGGATTCATTTCTGATAATTATGTGTATTTTATAGCATGTAGTCAACAGTTTCTTCAAGTTTTATATATATGTTATTAAAAAGATGTGGTATGATTGCCAATAAGACCGTTATCCACCAAGAGTCTTTCCTTATAAAAATTCTGAAACCATTATTTCTTATTTGGACTGGTACATGTATAATGTGAAACTTGCATGTGATTTTTTTTTACATTTGTTTACACTTCATGCACTATGATTAGGTTTTACCTGTGACTTCATATCAGATATCTTCATTTTATGCTTTATCAACGTGTATGCTATTGATTTTAACATTATAATTTTATTTCTCTGATAGATAGTAAACAATGTACTGCAATACTAATTAGTGTTCTTTTTGTCAGTGAAGTTAGACTGTTGTTATATTGTTTAGCAAAAAGTTCAATGTAGGTTTTCAGGCAAAACTTGAAATCGTAGATTTTCTATATTATTTTTATAGGTGGGGACAGTTTGTACAATAGAATGGCTACAGCAAACTTGTTTAAAGAGGCTCAAGATGCTGAGTTAGAATACAAAGCAAGAAAGGGTAAGACTAAGATGTTTAAATTAAAAGGCATGGTGAATTAAGTTGCTATTTTAGGGGTATTGTAATACGGAAAACAATTATGCATTACCATGTTATAATTGCTTTGAAATTTAAAACCATACCAAAATTTCTTAATTAGATTAGAGATATAATCTCAGGTCTTTACTATGTGAATCAGTGTCAGTGCTAAAATGGTGTTACAATCAAAATGAGAATAATTAAAATTATACAGAATTTCAAATAATGTCAAATTGTGTGTTTCTTTACAAATTAATTTAAAAAAATTTGACCCATGATGTAAACTAAAACATGTGTAAATCAAATTAACGGTAGTAATTAACAGGAATTAGGTACATTTACAGGAATATAACCGTTTACACAAAGATAAACATTTAATTTCACATTGTTTCCAGTTTTTCCTGCAATGATGTCTTAACATTGATTATTTATTTGATCATCTCTTTCCAGTGACAGACAAAATCTCTGAGAATATGAATGTGATAGCTAATGAGCCATCTTTAGCCTTCTTTAGAATCCAAGAACATGTGAGAAAGTCTCTACCTCAGCTTGTAGAAACAAAGGTAAGTTAATGAGGAAGGTGATACAAGAAAATGTTAGGAAACCTGATTCGGAGGTCAAAGGTACTTTACTGATTGGATGGGTGGCTGAATTTGATAAGCAGTTCTGACCTCAATATTGTAGCTTGTAAAAACTGGAAATTTAGAAGAAGGGTAGGGGTGGGGTAGAGGGATCTGTGTAATTAAAGAACTTGCTAGGAAGAGTCCAAGTCAGTTTTTGTCTCGCCTTGACGGAGTCAAAAAGCGAGACATAAGTATGCTGTTTCTGGTGTCGGCGATGGCGGCAGCGGCGTCAACAATGTATTAGTTTGTGATTAGGTCTAGTTCATGGTGAACCACTAGTGGTAGGTCAATGATATTTGGTATGCAGTTGTATTAGCATTGGCACATCTCATTACCATGGAGATTATTTGGCCCCGCCCCCTCAGTCAAGGTCTATTGACTTTGAAACTTTTCATAGTTTACATGTATTAGTTTGTGATTAGGTCAATTTATGGGGAACCACTAGTGGTAGGTCAATGATATTTGGTATGCAGTTGTATAAGCATTGGCATATCTCATTTCCATGGAGATTATTTGGCTCCGCCCCCTTAGTCATGGTCTATAGACTTTGAAAGTTTTGCTAAGTTAACATGTATTAGTTTGTGATTAGGTCAGTTCAAGGGGAACCGTTAGTGGTAGGCCAATGTTAATTGGTGTTCAGTTGTATAAGCATTAGCACATCTCATTTCCATGGAGAATATTTGGCCCCGCCCCCTCAGTCATGGTCTATTTACTTTGAAACTTTTGCTTAGTTTATACATGTATTAGTTTGTGATTAGATCAGTTTAAGATGAACTGCTAATGTTAAGTCAATGATATTTGATATGCAAATTTATTGGCATTTGCAAGTATCGTTTCCATGGAGATTATATAGCCCCACCCCTGATCATGGTTCATTGACTTTGAAACTTTTACATAGTTTACAAGTTAATGTTTGTGTTTAGGTTTGTTTAAAGGGAACGACTTATAATAAGTCAATGGTATTTAGTATGCAGTTGTATTAGCATTGGCACATCTCATTCCATGGAGATTGTTTAGCCATGTACCTTCAGTCATGGTTCATCGACTTTGAATATTTTCATAACATACATGTTAAAGTATTGCTATTTGAATTTCAACATTTGCATTATCAAAATTACAAAAAGGCGAGACATATCTCTGTGATAACAGTTTATTAAAAAATGTAGAAAACTTAATTGAATCAGTTTGTGAATAGAGAAAAGAGATCGACAAACAAAAAGAAAAGAAATAAAGATCAATTCTCTTAAAGGAAGGAGCTTCCACTTCAGCTTGAAGAAACTGAAGTAAATACCATGTACATTTTATCAGTTAGAGGATTGCAAAATCAAGAATATGAAAGGAAGCGTTTACCTCAAATAAGATACAAAAAAATAAATCAGTAAAAGTTGTGAAATTCAGATTTTCTTTTCTGTCTAATAAAGCTTTAACATGTTAAATTGTCTGCAATCTTCTTGGGATCAATGGTTGAAACGTATACATGACTTAGGGTGTATCATAAATACTTAATTTATAAAAAGTGTAATACATCAAGTCCTTTGCAATTTTTTCTTTATTTCCACATTTCTTTAAATTAGCTGAATCCGAAATATGAAAATATCTATATAAATGATTAGCAGTGATATAAAAAAAAATCTGGATAAATGATCATTAAAAAAATCTATATAAATTATCAGCAGTGTATCAAGAAGATTTATTCTTCTGTAAAACATTTTAGTATAAGCAAAAAAGCTTTACTTGACCTTGCTGAATTTCCTTATGACCTGTCTAAATGTGAACAAAGGAAATCCAGGACATTTGTAAGAATTCTAAAGAATACATAAAAATATAAGGATTTGGTTTGATTGTCAATGATACATATATCCACCAAAGACCACAGGACAATGAAATCTTTATAGTTCAAGTAGTATCACTGCTGTAATACAGTTAAATTTTATCGAAAATAGAAATTATAAATCCTGGATGTCCAATTAAGCTCAGTAATTCTCTCTTTTTCTTAATTAGGCATTTTCTTTTAATTAATTTTTAACCGGATTTTCGAAGTAAAAATGGGTTATTGATTTGGGGATGTACGGCGGGCAGGCAGGTGGCTGCCAAACAGTGTCCGTTCATTTACATGAAAACGCTTTGAAAAAATTTGTTCAAATTTAGATATGTTGTTTCCTGTGACTAAATGAAGGTCAAGTTCAATTTTCATGATTTTAGCTTTCCTCGTTGTTCAGTTATAGCCCTTTCCCAAGAACAATTTTTGATGAATTAATCCATTTCTGTACAAAGGTAAATAACTCATTTTTCAAAAGATTTTTAAAAGACATTGTATTAATGATAAACGACATTTTGGATTTTTTTTCTTTTCTTTGGTAAATTGTTTGAAGAATTTTGTGGTAGGTTTGTTTGTTATTCTGTATAAGCTAATTTTCTGAATGCTATATATATAATTTTTTATGATGAAGTGAACTCCTTTAATTAGATAATAATCTTTTTTTATTAAATATATTTCATTACATTACATTGTGTAGATAAAGTTGATAGATAAGTTGCAGATCTATATTAGTTTGTGACAAATGAAAGAAAAAATATTTGGAACTATTAATTATATTTGATTATAATTTGAAAATAGATATACATTGTGTTACGTCTAATTTTAGAGAACTATTTTTAGTGAAATCATATTTAATATTAGAGTACTATGTTAAACCATATTTCTGTTCAAAGGGAAATAACTCAAACTTATTCCATGAACCAGTAATGATAACATCAAAATTTCTTTATGACTATTTTTTTTAAGTCATGTGTGTTATGAAGATAGATGTCACAGTTGTTATGCGGTATTTTATTTTTGTTGTGTGTGTTATTGTTCAATTTTTACATGATCCTATTTGGGGTTCAGATTTTCAAATATCATTTTCATTATTAATTAGATAATAATCTACTATAAATATTCAATCACAATCCAAATTCAGAGCTGTATTAAGCTTAAATGTTGTGTCCATACTTGCTCAACTGTTCAGGGTTCGACCTCTGCAGGGAAATCCAGTTTGCTGTCACTCGACAGCCTCTTGTTAATCATACTATGTTTTTAATTAAAGAATATTTTGAAATGTGCAGTATTTTGATTTATTTTTTTTCAGCATGAAGTACAAGACATACAACAGAAGGTACAAGGTGCCAGCTTTGACACAGAATATGCTACAAAGTATATAGATATTGTAGAAATTTTAGTGTTCAATGTATTAGAAAGTATAATCAAGGAACTGATAAATTGTACCCCTACTCTAGAAGTGGGGCCTGTATTGCAATCACCTTGTCCTGTCCCTTCCTCCAACGACTATTTTTATCACACTATTCTCCTAAACTACTTAGCAGAATTATTTCGTATTTCGTCAGCAGCCCAACATTGATGAGTTTGAACATGTGGGAGCTTTTCAGATCTGTAAGACACCACTTCCTAATTATGATACTTTGATTTCTGAGTAGGCTATGCTTAGTTCGACAACAAATGTATTTTTGTTGATGTTTACTTTAGGTCTCATCATGTAAAAGTGTCATATTTAGGTAAGACAATTGTGAACAAATGGAATCTATTGCATAATGTTCTACAGTGTACTTATCATAATCAGCAGTGATTAAAAGTTTGTCATGATTTTTTTCGTTAGTGTTTGGAGGATTGTCATGACTTTTATCGGCAGTGTTTGGTGATATGTCATGATTTTTAAAGGCGGTGTTTGGTGGTATGTCACGATTTTTAACGGCGGTGTTTGGTGGTATCTCACGATTTTTAACGGCAGTGTTTGGTGGTATGTCATGATTTTTAACGGCAGTGTTTGGTGGTATGTCATGATTTTTATCTGCAATGTTTGGAGGTCATGACTACAATTGTCAGTTTTGGAGATTAAAAAATCTCTCGTTTAGACATTTTTTATGTCCTTGAAATTTTATATTGCCAATATTTTAATAACTTAATTATGAAACATGTGAATAATTGCACTAGATACACTTACTAGATGCTTTACTTATACAGTGGAGAACATCATTGCACTAGAAACACTTACTAGATGCTTTACTTATACAGTGGAGAACATCATTGTACTAGATACACTTACTAGATGCCTTACTTATACAGTGGAGAACATCATTGTACTAGATACACTTACTAGATGCCTTACTTATACAGTGGAGAACATCATTGTACTAGATACACTTACTAGATGCTTTACTTATACAGTGGAGAACATCATTGTACTATATACACTTACTAGATGCTTTACTTATACAGTGGAGAACATCATTGTACTAGATACACTTACTAGATGCCTTACTTATACAGTGGAGAACATCATTGTACTAGATACACTTACTAGATGCTTTACTTATACAGTGGAGAACATCATTGTACTAGATACACTTACTAGATGCTTTACTTATACAGTGGAGAACATCATTGCACTAGATACACTTACTAGATGCTTTACTTATACAGTGGAGAACATCATTGTACTAGATACACTTACTAGATGCTTTACTTATACAGTGGAGAACATCATTGCACTAGATACACTTACTAGATGCTTTACTTATACAGTGGAGAACATCATTGTACTAGATACACTTACTAGATGCTTTACTTATACAGTGTATTTGTTAATGGTGTTATAACATTGCTTGTACAGAAGTCTTTGGTATTCAAGTTAATGACATAAGAATAAAATGTGCAGTAAAGAATTTATTTTTAAGAGAGAACAAAATGTGGGTGTTTCAGATTGCTTAAAAGGACTGTGAAAAGTTATCTAAAATTTATGTTGTTGATAAGTCATTCATATATGATTTGCGTGATAAAGAATATTTTGCAAGGTTATTTTCCTAATAGACAGAGTTCATTGGATGACTGTAGTTATCAATATACATATACTGTGTATTCATTATTATTCGTTGGATACCAATTTTCATGCATTTCGTGGGTATAGGTGAACCACAAAATTAAATTTTCAACGGATGACAAATTTCCTATAGATATATAGGCTTGTATGCAAACTTCAGCAAAACCACGAAATTAAATATTCACAAACATTTAAGGTTTCCTCAATCCACGAAAATAAGTGAATCCACAGTATACTTTATTAAAGGTCAGATGTTATTGAAAGGAAAACATCATCCATATTTTCCACAAATATCTTTTGATTTTCATTTCTATTCATCTTCACAATTGTTTTTTGCATTCCATTCATTTTAATTTGAGTGTCACTAATGTGTCAGATTTAGAAGAACTTGGTATCTTTTATGACCTTTTGATTTAAGGTTTCTAAGAAGAGAGAAGTTGTATACATTTTTATAAAACAGAAAATCAGTTTAATTTTTTATTTTACAGTGCAGTGAAGAATTTACAGAAAAGTAGTATACATTTCCAGAATATACAAGATCTTATGAAAAATGCCATGTTTATGAAACAGCAGATAGATTATCAACATGATAGAAGGTATTATGAGATTAAAGAACCATGTTCTAAGTTTTAAATGGTTCTTAAAAACTCCCCAGAATTTGGTTTTTAACATTTGAATAACATTTTCACTTTGTTGCTTTATGTTTCGGTGTAAAGTTTATCTTAGTTTGACAGATTTTTTGGAGACTGAATAGATTTTTAATTTTAAAGTCAGTCTTTCAGATAACAAATTTCTTTAAGTATTCAGGCCTCATACTTAATGATAAAGGGCAGTTTTTATACAGGGTAAATGACCTGTTGCGCTTTTATTCTAGCCTCTTTCAGGCAAATTTTGGAGCCCTACTTGTAGGTGTTGTTGTACAAATGACTTAAAGGAGACATGACACGATTTTCAATTTGTGTTTCAAAATGTTTATTTATACTTAACTTTCCCCGTCAAATATTTGGTAAAATATGTATTTTAATGAAATTTAAATGCAATGATTTATCGACCTGTCAAATATGCATATTTCCATCCTGGAAGTCACTCAGAACGAGGCTACTACGTCAGTGGTTACATTCATTCATTTTGACATATGGTACAGCGCAAGTTTAGTTTAGATAATAATCCAACAAAACGCATGACAGTGATGAACAATGATTATGTGTGATGCCGATGGATTAAACAATATAATTAAAAAGAATATTGACATGACATTTCTGTTTTTCAAATGACACACAGACTTAGAAGGTGTAAAGATGGGACTTTTTAACAACCCAAAACTACAATTCTTTCCACCCACTTTCATAAGGAATCCAGAGTTGGGGTCTCAGGTGCCATGCCATGAGTTCATCATAAGTCACAGATGTGTGGCACAGGTGATTGAATTTGGCATTTTCAGGTCTCGTTTGAAGTTTTAAGCTTCAGGTGTCACGCCACATGGGGGATTGATAAACATAGTTATTATGCAATATTACTTCATAAGCTCTTTGTGTTCATCCTGGATGTGGTTTTTGCCGAGGGCACAGGTGAGATTGGAATATATTATTGTTACAGTAATACAGGTACAACTACCTGATGTTTAATGAATACCTGTAGTACGACCATACAATACCCTTGCACCACCAATTAAATACCCTAACCAGTGTTTATAACTAATAGACAGCCTGTATATAGATCTTATTTTTATTGCTTTTAAGAATATGCAGATATAAAAAGGTTTATAACAGATCCATTTTTTTAATTGACTTCTTCTTAAGATGGAAAGGTAATATTCCTGTATGCTTGCAAGTCTATAACTTCATAAGAAATTGTTAGGCAAAAAGCATAAAAAGCAAACAAGGAAATGATACGAGAATGTGAATCATGAGTTTTTAACATTCTTACATTGAACATTGAATATAATTATTGACAACTATCTAGTTGGTAAAGATTCAGATGATGAAAAACATTTCTTTTTAAAATGGAAACTTAATAATAAAATGAAGAAAGTGTCGTTTGAACCAATTATTTGGTATAACTGTACGGCCTCCACAATGAGAAAACCCCATACCGTAACGTGGCTATAAAAGGTCTCAACATGAAAATGTGAAACCATTTTAACGAGAAAACTAACAATCTTATTTATAACAAAATAATTTCCAAAGAGCAAAATATGACTGACATGAACCAACAACAACCATGATCTACATGCTCCTGATTTAAGAGCGACACATTCAAAATGTGTCGGGGGGGGGGGGGGGTAAATGTTTGTGAGTGCCTACCCCCCCCCCCCCCCCATGTGTTACAGTGGTCTAACAGTAGTACATAAGAACTATTAAAACCAGTCTAACTCAAAAGATCGGTACGAAGTACAGAAACCACTAACGTAAAAACAATAGAGACAAAGCACAAATACTGTAAGCTAGATCAAAGCCAAGTACAACTAATACATAACTCATGTTCTCGAAGACTGAAGTATGTTACAGGTAAGCATTTTCATGATCAGTCCGATTGAAAATTTAACATTTTTCAAATGACCCCTATTTGAAGTTATGCTTTGAAAAAGAACATTATGTGTTGTGAATATTTTCCTGGACTCAAGCATTTTGCTGGTAGCAATAAACTAATTTATTGCTAAATGATATTTGGAAGAGAGGGGTGGAAATATGTGAATTTGAATTTACTTTGTGAAATTCCTTAAATTTGAAGTTAGATTTATAAGGGTCTGGATGGAATTGCATACTTTAGAAGTGTGTTATAACTATATTATTAATTATTTCAACATAAGATATTTTTTCGTAAAAATGTTTATTATTATTATATTGATGTTTGGGGAGGCAGCTTTCCTGGTATGGAACTTGCGCCCTCGTAAAAATGTATGGTTTTAAAAGTCAATAACATAACACGCGACTAAATCACACTACAGGTGCCTTCTTACCTTTCACCTGGTCAAGTATGCTATAGGTGTCAAAATTTAATTACTAAAACAACAGCCCCCAATAAATGTTTATATAAAGGGGGGGGGGGGGGGGGGGGGGGAGTAATAAAATTGTTAATTGAATATCCTAATGCACAAATAGTGTGATCAAGGATTTGTCACTATACAAATCCTTGGTGTGATGTATGGTTTACAACCAAAAAAAATATAAGCATAACTTTTGGTGATAATTTATACCTATTAAAAGTCTCTATACGTAACCAAAAAAAAACAACAAAAAACGTACCCTTTGCGAACGCCTAATTTGACTTTTACTATGGTTTATTCTTTCTTTCTGCTTCTGGCGCACACATAATTATAACGTTACCGTAACAGTGAAAAAAAAGAACAATTTGATAATCAATAATTAGAAATTTATATTTCTAATCATGATTAAAAGTAGATTTCTTTAAATAAAGAAATGCAGAAAGCGGTTTATTAAATTTATGCATTAGACAAACCCATATGTATGGTAACAATCCGATTAGTATTGTCTGAAAAAATCATCGTTATTGGACTCTTCGTGCATGAAGAATTAATATCTTTTTCTTGGTTATTTTCAACAAACAATAACTCAAATTGATTAGGTCAATTGTCTTTGTAGTTATGTCAGTAATAGGGAAAAGTGCTGTCAATACCGTTTATAGTGTATCGACACCGTAAAGTTTGAGGCATTTTCCCAGCTTGTAACCACTGACGTAAGCACGATCATGTGATCGTTATCTAATTAAAAATCATTCATTATGACAAGCGCTGGATTTTTTTCCCTAAAAAATACTGATTGATCAGGTTCTGACAAGCAAAATTGTACAAAACATATTTTAAAACAATCATTTATTAATTAAATAAAAAAAAAAAAAAAAATCATGTCACTTCTCCTTTAAACCTGTTCTTATCACTCATAATAATAATTCAGGAAATGGGAAAACAAATATGGCTTGTACAAAAGTACATAGGACATCATGCCCCACTCTCACTTTCACATTTAAATGTTCAGTGAACAACAAACCTAATTTGGCATAGATTTGAAAAAAAGTTTACCTCTTAATGAATTTGTGTACTAAAGTTTCAAGTGAAGTAACCACAACTTCATGATTACCTTAAACCAAAACTTTATGGGATGATAGGCTAATGAACTAACAGATAAGTTATTGCACAGCACAAATTAGCAAACATAATGCCCCCTGCTGTTGTAATTGGGACATAATTATATAATGTTCTTTACCAAAAACAAGAACACATATTACAATTAAAAATGCCTAAAAATTAGCAATTCTGCGGACTCATTTATTTTCGTGGATTGAGGAAAAATTGCATTTTGTTGATATTTGATTTCATGGTTTTGCTTAAGTCTGCATACAAGGCTATAGAAAATGTCTACTTGTTGAATATTTATTAAATGCATGGTTCATGTATACCTACAAAATCCACGAAAAATTGGTATCCCACGAATAATAATGAATCCACAGTAGTAATTGTAAGTATTTTATTTTAACATAATAAAAAGAAGCATTGAACATAATAAATTTTACATAAGATGTAGAAAATATTGATATCATTGCTCCTAAGGAGAGAGGTATACTGGTTAACCTCTGTCAGGCCTTCCCTCCCTCCATGTTACCGGTTTTCCAATGAAACTTTTGTCACATTTTTCTGAGGAACTACAAATCTGAGCTTCCTGACATTTAATAACAAGCTTCATGTGAACATGCTTTATTATCTGATATGCTTTCACCTCCTTTGCTAATATACTTCTTTACTCAATACTTTTAGCAGGGGTATCATAAGTGAGCAATACCTCACAGTTCAACCTGTATCATTTTTGTTGCATATCACCTTTTGACATTTTGCTTTACATGCATGCCCAATATATTTTAACAACAAAACATGATATATATGACATGTATTACAAAGTAAAATTTTCCTGTATAGACATGAAAAAAGGCATAATAAAAAACAAATTTATATGAAACAGAGAACAGGAGAAGGTGAGATCAAGTATGTACATGTCCCTTACTGATGAACAATTACTGTCTGATAGTCAATCACATGACAAGTAAGTTGCTTGGCAACAACGATGTGATGCTTAGCAACATTCACTTTCTTGCATGTAGGAACACAGTTGAAAGCTTTTTGATTTAGTTACCGGTACCTTTAATCTTAGAAATAAAATTGATAAAAGAAAAACTTAGTTAAAAAAATTGAATTAATTTTTTATAATTAAGAGGTAGTATGATATTTATCTTTTATCAACTGTGTTCATAATTATGTCCTAATGTGCTCAATTGGGCTTTCAGTTTATGTGTGATGACATTTATTTCGTACCAGTTTTTGTTAAAAAGAAGACATATATGTTTAAATTGTGTATTGTCATATATATTTTTGTTCAAAATTTTCCTTAATTTTATTTTTGTAAGTTGATACTGTGCATGCATGTAATGATAAGCATGTTATAATATTACAGGACATAGTGTTGTGTCATTCAGTATTCTGTAAATAGTTGTTGAGTAAGTCAGAACTGTTGTTTGTTGTTGTAAACTATGTCACTAAATGTTGTATGTTTGTTTAACTTATTTTGATTGTTGAAAAGTTATTACTGATCACTTACGATAATATTACTGAACAACATTAGTGAATAAAAGAAAAAAACAGCTGTAAACATGAATACCTTGCAATATGTTGTATTGCCTTTTGATATTTATTTACCCATATCACCATTTAAAAAGATATCTATAGTTCAAGTAAAATAATTGATCTTTTTTAGTCCCCTACCGACAAAGTCGAAGGGGACTTTAGGTTTGCACTCCGTCCGTCTGTCTGTCCAATTGTCAATCCGGCAAATCAGTTTTCCAGACTTTTTTTCTTCGTGCTTGAAGATATTGATTTGATATTTGGTTTATTGATTTATCAAGACAAGTTACAGGTCAAATTCAATTTTCACGATTTTAGCTTTTCTCTTTGTTCAGTTAAAGCCCTTCCCCTAGAATTAAATTTTTTTGATGAAATACTTACTAGTTAGTAGATTTCTGTTCAAATGGAAATAACTAATTTTTTAAAAGACAAAATGACATTTTGGATTTTTTTCCTATTCTTTGGTAAATTGTTTGAAGAATTTAGTGGAAGGTTTGTTTGTCATTCTTGAAGATATTGATTTGATAATTAGTGTATAGTTTTATCATAAACAAGTTACAGATCAAGTTGGAATTTTGTTCCAGTCTGATAATTTTGTGCAGAGTTATGGTCTTTGGACATAGAAAATTCACTTAAATAACCAGTTTTCAACAGTTTTTTTCGTCATGCTTGAAGATTTTGACTTGATATTTTTATGTAGTTTACACCATGACAAGTTATAGATCAAGTTAGAATTTCGTTCCATTACAATGAATTCATAACTGGTAGGGGACTATGTATTGTCATGCAATACTCACAGATTGCTTGTTAAGTAAGACATGGTGAGCCCAGACATGTGCCAACTGAAAATAATCTAGATCTCTATTATTTTTACCACATGCTCTCTTATTTTTACATACAATAAACTTTAAAGGTTGAAGTACCCATGCAGGAAATCATTTAGGTTGACTGTTGCAAGGCTTATTTTCCTCCCATATTCAACATAACTTATTTTGTCAGTGACAAGTCTATATTTCTGGTCCATCATACTGGTCAATCTTCTGTAGAACCTGACAATTTGATTTATTGTTTGTTTTCATCCTGCAAATGCATGAAACATATGCCTCTAGAATTAAAAAAAAACACAATCAATCAATCAATCAATCAATCAATCAATCAATCAATCAATCAATCAAGCAAGCAAGCAAGCAAGCCAGCAAAACAATTATTCTAGAATCATATTTAATCACCTGGTTATTTTGAAATCTAGGAAGAAACTTTTATTATTAATAACCTACCATTTTTGTCGAGCCTTCGACTTTTGTCGAAAAAGCGAGACATAGCGATCCTACATTCCGTCGGCGTCGTCGGCGGCGGCGGCGTCCACAAATATTCACTCTGTGGTTAAAGTTTTTGAAATTTTAATAACTTTCTTAAACTATCCTGGATTTCTACCAAACTTGGACAGAAGCTTGTTTATGATCATAAGATAATATTCAAAAGTAAATTTTGTAAAAAAAAAATCCATTTTTTCCGTATTTTACTTATAAATGGACTTAGTTTTTCTGCCAGGAAACATTACATTCACTCTGTGGTTAAAAGTTTTTGAAATTTTAATAACTTTCTTAAACTATCCTGGATTTCTACCAAACTTGGAAAGAAGCTTGTTTATGATCATAAGATAGTATCCAGAAGTAAATTTTGTAAAAAAAAATTCCATTTTTTCCGTATTTTACTTATAAATGGACTTAGTTTTTCTGCCAGGTAACATTACATTCACTCTGTGGTTAAAGATTTTAAAATTTTAACAACTTTCTTAAACTATCCTGGATTTGTACCAAACTTGGACAGAAGCTTGTTTATGATTAAAAGCTAGTATCCAGAAGTAAATTTTGTAAAAAAAAAAATCCATTTTTTCCGTATTTTACTTATAAATGGACTTAGTTTTTCTGCCAGTTAACATTACATTCACTCTGTGGTTAAAGTTTTTAAAATTTGAACAACTTTCTTAAACTATCCTGGATTTGTACCAAACTTAGACAGAAGCTTGTTTATGATTAAAAGCTAGTATCTAGAAGGAAATTTTGTTCCATTTTTTCCGTATTTTACTTATAAATGGACTTAGTTTTTCTTCCAGTTAACATTACATACAGTCTGCAGTTTAAGTTTTTAAAACATTTATTAGATTCATAAACTATCCTGGATTTTTACCAAACTTGGACAGAAGCTACTTACAATCAAAAGATAGTATAGAGAGGAATATTTTTATTAATTTTTTTCCTCATTTTTGCTGAGCCTGTGATTAACAGCAAAAAGTAGGCGAGACACTGGGTTCCGCGGAACCCTTACAAATTTTATTTATTATCCAAAGCTACAATAGAACAAAAAAATAAATCACTTTGTACATAAGAATGAATGTGTCATTTTATTTTACTCTCTGCTTTCTTTGATTAGTATCACATTTGCATTAATGTTGTAAACAGTAGTTGTATTATACCGCAGTAATGGTTGAATAATCAAAATTTCTTTTAACATTAAACATCTTTTTCTATTTCAAATTTTTCTCATTTTTTTCTTTGATATATACACAATAAATGTTTATAAATGTGTTGATAATAGACCATAGGTTAATCTCTGGATGTCATTTGATTTCAATGTGCCTCGTTAAAATATTCATTATATTTCCTTTAATTCATCTTTATACTTTAATTAGACTCATTCAGATAATAAAGATATTTTTTCAATAAATATATGTTCACACCTCATTTTCTTAATGCCAATGACAATGGATCGTCCTAAAATTTTATACAAAAATCTGCTTTTGTATCAACATGGGGAGCCAGCTTATGCAATCATTGCAAAGCTGTTAATTTATGATACAAGTATTATGTAATTTTATCAATCAGCCTATGGCAACTAGAGTCAAAGCTTTAACTGAAGTTGAAAGTGGGGATTAAAACCTTTCTCAAACATTGACATTGACATAAAAGTGAATAAAGTCAATGACTCAACATAGCAAACAAGACAGGACTCATGAGTCTTTATTCAATAAATGTATACATGTATAAAACCAAATGAAGTTGATTATGTATCAAGGTACATTTTTGTTTCTATGGCTGTGTATCTTAGCTACTAGTAATGAATACATTTTGATTGTATTATTATTTATTTCAGTGAGCCACTAGTAACACCAGTTAATGAGCCAGTTGAACCAGTAGATCGTGAACCATTAGTAGCACCAGGTCCATTAAGTGTAAATGCTGGTGCATCATGACTAGAGTATTGATAGGGTATTGTGCAATGACATTCCATTTATTTATTGTTAAGTAAGCTTTTGTTATGTATATGAATGTTCAAACTTTATGAATAAAGAAACTATTATTGTTATTAGTATATTTTGCAAAGATATGTTTTGAATCAGTCACTTTTGACCTTCTAGAACATTGAATTGAACAGGAACTATTTTGTACCCCATGCAACAAAGTTGCTGAGAGTATAATGTTTGCATCCTGTCTGTCGTCATTTTGTTTTTCCCATTAGCATTCATTTCTTAGATTAATCAAACATTTTCAAATTTGTATGATGGTTTCCAATCAAAAAAACCTGAGAGGAAAAAGATAGGTGAAAGATACCAAGGGATATTCAAACTCACAAGTCAAAAACAAGCTGACAATGCCATGGCAAAAAAAAAAAAGACCAAAACACAACTTAAAAAACTAAAAACGGAGCAACATGAATCCCACCAAAAAGGGGGTGATCTCAGGTGCTCCAGAAAGAGAAGCAATGTTAATTCTTGTCGCTGGGACACCGCCTTCAATTCTACCCAGATTCACTTCAAATTTGTAGGAAAATTTCCACTAATCACAATCTTGGATTAATTTGATAATCATAATTTAAAATGGGAACCACTTTTCTTTGGGGTGAACTAGAAAAAATATTCCTTATTAATTCTTGTAACCAAAATAGTGCCTTCATTTCTTTTCAGATCATTTTTAGCTCTTCTCATCACTTGGCATCCGTCGTCCGTCGTCATCGTCGTCCGTCGTCATTAACTTTTTACATTTTGAACTTCTTCTAGAGAACCACTGAATAGAATGAAACCAAACATGGCATGAATGTTTCTTATGAGGTGCTGACCAAGTGTTGTTACTTTGAAGCCGATCCATCATCCAAGATGGCAGCCAGCAGGGGACTTAGTTTAACATAGGACCCTATGGGAAATACATACAAATGTCTTCTTTTAGAGAACCACTGAATGGAATGAAACCAAACATGGCATGAATGTTCCTTTTGAGGTGCTGACCAAGTGTTGTTACTTTGAAGCCGATCCATCATCCAAGATGGCAGCCAGCAGGGGACTTAGTTTAACATAGGACCCTATGGGAAATACATACAAATGTCTTCTTTTAGAGAACCACTGAATGGAATGAAACAAAACATGGCATGAATGTTCCTTATGAGGTGCTGACCAAGTGTTGTTACTTTGAAGCCGATCCATCATCCAATATGGCCGCCAGCGGGGGACTTAGTTTAACATAGGACCCTATGGAAAATACATACAAATGTCTTCTTTTAAAGAACCACTAAATGGAATGAAACCAAACATGGCATGAATGTTCCTTTTGAGGTGCTGACCAAGTGTTGTTACTTTGAAGCCGATCCATCATCCAAGATGGCCACCAGTGGGGGACTTAGTTTAACATAAGGACCCTATGGGAAATACATACGAATGTCTTCTTTTAGAGAACCACTGAATGGAATGAAACCAAACATGGCATGAATGTTCCTTATGAAGTGCTGACCAAGTGTTGTTACTTTGAAGCCGATCCATCATCCAAGATGGCCACCAGCTGGGGACAGTGTTTAACAAAGGACCCTATGGACAATACACACAAATGTCTTCTTTTAGAGAACCACTGAATGGATTGAAACCAAACATGGTATGAATGTTCCTTATGAGGTGCTGACTAAGTGTTGTTACTTTGAAGCTGATCCTTCATCCACGATGGCCGCCAGCAGGGAGACTTCCTTTAACATAAGACCCTATTGGAAATACATACAAATGCTTCTTCTAGAGGTGCACTGAATGGAATGAAACCAAACATGGCATAAATGTTTCTTATGAGGTGCTGATGAAGTGTTGCTACTTTGTTGCTGATTTACTGTTCAAGATGGCCACCAGGATTTTTTATTATATTACATGGCCAATATTAAACCAAATTTGGCCTCACTCATTATTAGGATATCTGTTATGATTTTAATCTATTTTAACATGATTTCCAAAACCAAAGTAGAATCAGGTGAGCGACACAGGCTTTTGAGAGCCTTTAGTTAAATACTGTGGATACAATATTATTGATTGAATACAATTTTCAAGGATTTTGTGTGTATAGGTGAACCATAAATTTCAAAGTTCAATAAAGCAAATATTTTCTATAGGCTTGTATACAGTCTGTGGCAAAACCTTGAAATCTAATATCTGCAAATGAACAATATGTCTTCAATTATAGAAAATTGGTACCCATGATAATAAATGAACCCAAAGTGTGGATTAAGGTTTCCACTTGTCAAAACTTTAGACAAGTTCGTTAATCAGAATAATCTAAAATGAGGAACATTTTTTTCTGGAGGGGGACTTATATTCCATATTTATAATGTGGGGTAAGTGGGCTTGCTCACTTAAAGGTTCTTTCATTAAAAGGTCATTGATTTGTGACTGTTAGCTTATAATCTTGCTTACATGGTATGGATGTTACTGTTTGTTTTACATATAATGAAATATTCTTCATTTTTGTTGAGCCTGCGACTTTTGTCGCAAAAGCGAGACCTAGAGATCCTACATTCCGTTGTTGTCAGCGGCGTCCACAAATATTCACTCTGTGGTTAAAGTTTTTGAAATTTTAATAACTTTTTTAAACTCTCCTGGATTTCTACCAAACTTGGACAGAAGCTTGTTTATGATCCTCAGATAGTATGCAGAAGTAAATTTTGTAAAAAAAAAATCCTGTTTTTCCATATTTTACTTATAAATGGACTTAGTTTTTCTGCCAGTTAACATTACATTCACTCTGTGGTTCAAGTTTTTAAAATTTTAATAACTTTCTTAAAATATCCTGGATTTCTACCAAACTTGGACAGAAGCTTGTTTATGATCATAAGATAATATCCAGAAGTAAATGTTGTAAAAAAAAGAAAATCCTATTTATCTCTATTTTACTTCTAAATGGACTTAGTTTTCCTGCCAGTTAACATTACATTCACTCTGTGGTTAAAGTTATAAAAGTTTTGATAACTTTCTTAAACTATCCTGGATTTGTACCAAACTTGGACAGAAGCTTGTTTATGATCAAAAGCTATTATCTAGAAGGAAATTTTGTAAAAATTTATTTCCTGTTTTTCCGTATATAACTTATAAATGGACTTAGTTTTTCCAGTTCACATTACATACAGTCTGTAGTTAAAGTTTTTAAAACTTTTATTAGATTCATAAACCATTCTGAATTTTTACCAAACTTGGACAGAAGCTTCTTACAATCAAAAGATAGTATCTTTAGGAAAATTTTTATTATTTTTTTCCCCGTTTTTATTGAGCCTGTGACTAGCAGCAAAAGTAGGTAGACATTGGGTTCCGCAGAACCCATACAAATTTTTAGTACCTATAATCCTTTATGTTCCCATTTGCTCTGAAATATTAATTTATGTTCCCTCATGTTCTTTGATATTTCTGAATGTTCCCTTATGCTATTTGATTTTACTGTATGTTCCCTCATGCTCTTAGATATTACTGAATGCTCCCTCTTGCTCTGAGATATTACTGTATATTCCTTCATGTTCTGATATATTACTCTATGTTCCCTTGTGTTCTTTGATATTACTGATAATAAAAATAAGAAGATGTGGTATGATTGGCCATGAGACAACCCTCCACCAGAGACCAAATGACATTGAACTCTAGGTCACCATATGGCCTTCAACAATGAGTAAAACCCATACCGCATAGTCAGCTATTAAAGGCCCTGAAATGACAATTGTAAACAATTCAAAACGAGAAAACTAACAGCCTGATTTATGTACAAAACAATGAACGGAAAACTATGGCAAGCCGTTTTAATATTTATTCTAACTTCAAGATATCTCATATAATATATAAGATATCTTATATAATTTAGTTTTTATAAGATATCTTCTAAACTTTATAAGATATCTTATAAACTTTATAAGATATCTTATATACTTTATAAGATATCTTATAAACTATATTAGATATCTTATAAACTTTATAAGATATCTTATAAACTATATTAGATATCTTATAAACTATATGAGATATCTTATAAATTATATAAGATATCTTATATAATTTAGTTTATATAAGATATCTTATATAATATATGAGATGTCTTATATATTATATAAGATATCTCATATAGTTTATAAGATATCTTATACCTAACTTGGGACAGGCACATACAGAATGTAATGGGGTTTAACTAGTTTGCTAGGGCCAAACCCTCCCCCTAACCTGGGACAGTGTTATAACAGTACAACATGAGAACAAACTATAGAAATCAGTTGAAAAGGGCTTAACTCATCATATTGATACAAAGCATAAAAACATCTAACAAAAATAAAGACCGGACATGGCAGGGTATTTATACATCCCCACAACAAAAATTACATTAAGTACAGATCTCAGAGACTACTACGCAGTTACTGACAGCTAGTTCAAAGCCAATAACAACTTATAAAAAAATCATGCATCTAAGAATAAAATATCAACAAGTAAACATCCAACAGCCAATGGATTTAGTGTAAAGACATCATAATAGTCAGAGAAAAACATGACCTTGTGCAATGCCAAGATACAGGAATCAACAGATTGTAGAGCCATGAATGTGCATGTGTATATAACAATAGTATTTAGTATGATTTTAATTAACTGATAATAAAATCAATATTTATGCAAAGATATAATAACAGTGTTAAATTGGTAACCTTTTAGAATAAGTTTATTTAAAGGGTCGATAAGTTTACCCAGATCGTACCTAAATGTTCGGGCTTGGTAAACAACTTCTCCGTAAAAATTAGGATGCCCTATCCCGTTTGAAATAAGTTTTCTACAGGTACAGCGTCACATCCATTGAAATCCAAAACGTCACTACAGACACGGGCATAGCGAAAGAGTTGTGATAAATAAACACTGTAAGATGTTATCAAATGAACATCACCGTACAAAAACGGAAAATTAACAATAGGGAACAAAAAATCATCTCTTTTGACATAAATATTTGTGTAGAGTTTCCCTGAACTATCTAAATCTAGGAAAGGACAGTTATGACCATTTATATTTGATTTATCTAGAGTAAGTTCCTTTGAGTAAATTTTCA